CTGTGTGCTTGATTCCAGTTCAGAAATCATTGCCATGCCCAGGCACATCTGGGAAAGGATTGGGCTCCCATTACACAGTGACCATCTCATGACTATGACCTCTGCTAACATGTCTAAGGACACTACTGTAGGCATTCTAGAGAACCTGAAACTTGACTTCAGTGCTGGGCCAGTCATGCTCCAAGTCTAGGTAATTGAGCATGCCAACTTTGACATGCTTCTTGGTTGCCTGTTCATCTGCCTCATGAGTGTCATAACAAATGACTACCCTGATGGCAGACAGTGGATCACTCTCCATGACCCAAATGATGGCCACAAATACATCTTACCCACATGCCCATGGCACCAGGGCTGCCTGTGCTGTAAGTGCAGCAAGCACTCCATAGTCACCAGAGTATTATCAAATGGGGTTTTTGAATATTGATGATCCACCAAATGGTTGGGTAGAGCCTACTAAGATGTCCTGTTTCCTGTTCAGCTGCTGCTACCCATTCCTCAGTCCCAGTGTCTTTCCTAGCCTTCACCTCTACAAACTTCAGTTCACCTGCAGTACCCATGCTGCAGAGTATACCTGCTGGAATACACTCACCCACCTTCACTTTCCTCTCCTCCACTCAGACAATACTAAACCCCTCTGCTGTAGCCACTTTTAATAGTGTTTACCAAATAGACCCCACAGTTCACACCCTCATATACAAGCCAGTTGCCAAGAAGGTTTGGAGAGTACCTGCCCCAATGGTGGAAGAGTTCTGCATTGTGCACAGCCTGCCTGATGATCTGCTTGCTGGCCTCCAACCACTACCAACACACCCACCAGACTTCACTCTGGGTATTCATTTCACTGCTGAAAGGGCCACAGAGCTTGATCTTGACCCAGCAGGCTGGCTTTGGCCAGAGGAACACAAACTTGTTACCTGGCTCATTGTGGTACACAAGCCTGCATTCACCTGGGACATCACAGAGCATGGACATCTAGACAAATGCTACTTCCCCCCTGTAAAGATCCCAACAATCCCACACACACCCTGGGTCCAGTGCAATATCCCTATTCTGAGCCTGATCCATGCCCAGGTCATCAACATGATTAAAGATTGCATCAGGTCTGGGATGTATGAGCCTTCTATGGTGGCTTACCACTCTCACTGGTTCTGTGTAGTAAAGAAAGATGGAAAGTCTCTTCACCTTGTGCATGACTTACAGCCCCTGAATGCAGTGACCATTCACAATGCATCCATTCCTCCCTTCATAGAACATCTTGCAGAATCCTTTGCCAGCTATGTGGTATACACAATGATGGACCTCTATTCTGGGTATGATCAGTGCATGCTTCACATTGACTCCTGCAACCTTGCCACCTTCAGTACCCTGCTTGGGCCACCTTGACTTACTACCCTGCTGCAAGGCCATGCAAATGCAGTACAGGTGTACCAAGGAGATACTGCATTCATGCTCCAAGATGAGATCCCACATCATACCTTACCCTTCATTGACAATGACCCCATAAAATCCAAGACCACCCACTATCAGCATGCAGATGGTTCCTATGAGACTATCCTGGAGAACCCTGGAATCTGGAAGTTTATCTGGAATCACTGTATAGTCATTAACTGCATTCTTCAGCATTTGCAGAACATTGGAGCCACTGTCTCAGCAAAGAAGTTTGTGCTAGCTGCTCCATCTGCTGTGATCATCAGCCACAAGTGCACCTTCAAAGGTTGTGTTCCTGAGGAGAGCAAAGTGCAGAAGATCTGTGACTGGCCTGAGTGCTGCAACCTGACCCAGGTTCATGGTTTCCTCAGTGTCTGCAGTGTCCTCTGCATCTTCATCAAAGACTTTGCCAAGATTGCATGGCTGCTAGTTGCACTCACATGAAAGGATGTACCATTCACATGGGACAACCTGCAATGTGCTGCCATGCAACAACTCAAGGATGAAATTATTAAGTCCCCCACACTCCAGTGGATTGACTATGAGTGTGGTTAAGTGATTTTAGCTGTTGACACTTTGGTCATCACAATCAGCTACATCCTTTACCAACTTGGCAAGGGTGGGAAATGATACCCTAGTCACTTTGGGTCCATCACCCTCAATGAAGTGGAAAGCTGCTACTCCCTGGAGTTGTATGGACTATTCCACATGTTGCATGTGGTATGCATATATATATTTGGTCTCACCAACTTCACTGTGGAAGTAGATGTGAAATACATTAAAGTCATGATAAACAACCTGGACCCACAGCCTAACATGGCAATCAACTGCTGGATTGCTGGTGTCCTCCTCTTCTTGTTCAAACTTGTATATGTTCCTGCAGACAAGCATGCTGGCCCTGACAGCCTCTCCCACCACCTGCAGTCAGAACTCAACCCACCTGAGGATGATGACCACAAGGACTGGTTAGACTGTTTTTACTCCTTCTCTACAGAGGCTATCAATGACCACCCACCTCCTACATCTGTCTCCAATCAAGATCATCATTCCTTACTGTCACCTGCTTGCCATTGGGCATGCCTCCCACTGCCTGTATCCTTCTACCTCACATTCTCTGCAACCACTGATACCAACTGCTCCCCTGATACCTCTCACAATCCAGCCATCCTGCAGTCTGCAAAAGCTTGGACATGCAAGGCAAAAATAGCAATGATCTGCATGTTCCTTGTGACCTGTGACCAACCCCCTGACCTTACTGATGCACAGTGCTCATCCTTCTTTAACTCCACCAGCTGTTTTTTCCTCCTCAATGGCAGCTTATGGTGTAGAGAACTGCACAGATGGCACCAGCTCATTGTCAATGAATCCAAGTGGTATCACCTCATCAAGGAAATGCATGATGACCTCAGACACAAAGGTATCTTCACCATCCACACCCACCTGCTTCTCCACTTCTGGTGGCCTCTGCTTGTTGAGGATGTGAAATGGTATGTTTGTACTTGTCATGAATGCCAAATTTGCCAGATGCCATCAGTAAATCACTTTTTCTGGCCAGAGCTGTCCAGAGCTGTCCAGCACTGGACAGATTCCCTAGGACTGCCAGCACACAAAGTGGTTTACTGATGGCAGAGACTTCACATGCCCCCCACTGTGCCCATGATAGGGGGCCTGTTTCATAAAGCTCATATTGACACAATGCTAATGCCCAAAGCTGGTGGCTACCAGTACATAGTACAGGCTTGATGCACACTCACCTCATATCCAGAATGGTGCATGTTGCACATGGAAAATAGTACTGCACTTGCATCCTTCATCTTTGAGGACATCCTGTGCCACTGGGGTCCACTCACTGAAATTGTTATGGACAATGGTCCTGCATTTGTTCAAGCCTTAGATGTCCTGGCCATGCAATATCATATCCATCACATCCACATTTCTCCTTACAACTCTCAGGCTAATGGTATCATAGAGCATCACCACTATGATGTATGCAAGGCTATCATGAAGAGCTGTGAGAACGATGACTGCTGCTGGCACACTGTCATGCACTTTGTCCTCTGGGCCAAGTGGGTCACTATATTGAAGTCCACTGGTCTGTCCCCCTACTCTATGGTACATGGTGTTGAGCTGCTATTCCCCTTTGACCTTGCTGAGGCTACCTTCCTTCTACCCTTATCCCATGATGATGTGACACCACTGACCACCACCAAACTGATTGCCAGGTGCATGCACCAGTTACAGAAGCATCAGGACAACCTGGACCAGGTCCACAACAATGTCCTCCATGTGCACTTCCAGTTGGCCAAACAGTTCAAAGCTGCCTTCCAACATTGCATTAAAGATTATAAGTTCGCACCTGGCACCCTTGTGCTCATTCACAATTCCTGAGTAGAGAAAGAACTGAACAGGAAAATGAAGCTGCAGTACACTGGCCCCATGGTCATCCTTTGCTGGACCACTGGGGGCTTGTACCTGCTGGCTGAGTTAGATGGCTCCATCTCCAAGCTCTGCTTTGCTGCATTCCACTTACTACCATACCACCCATGGTCACACAGCTGTGCCACTGTGACTCATATTACTGGTTTGGATGACAAGGCACTAGACCACCTTCTCACAGAAGCTGAGGATGAACCAACTGATGATGAAGCCAAGGCCTATGCCTCAGACAGCTGACTATCCACCTGTTCCAGCACCCACAGCCTGTCCATCATGCCCTCCCCTTCTTTCCTTCCTACTTGCCTCCATGCCCTCCTCTCCTATGCTACCCCTACCCCCTGCCATGGTTTCAACTGCCTCCCTGCAGCTTCTCCCACTACCTTTGTTCCACCTCCCACATTGACTGGGGACAGTCAGCATTCACAGTCCCCCACAGGGATGACCAGCATACCACTTTCCCCATCTGATACCAAACATAGTTTGTTTCCCCTCATCTGTTTTACCCTGGGATTTGTCTGGAGACCTCTGTTCTACCCTGGGTTTCGTCTGGTGATTCTACTGATAGCTAGTTCACACTCAAACAACATACAAACCACTAACAAAAAGTCCAAAACTGTCTAGAAAAATAACAAAACACCTGATAAGTATATAACTAAAACAATGTCTCTCCTGTCACTTCTCTCACTAGTCTTGCTGATGCCATCCTCAGCTGCCATATACTGCAGATACTTGCAACTATCCTGCACATTTTCTCTTTGAACACACAGTCAGTACACACCCCTTGATCCATTTTCCTTTCAATTCTTCTTCTGTCTCCTTACACTTGATACCCCAAAATCATCCCAGTTACCCAATAAACTGTCCCCTCATTCTCTCTTCAAGACATCATTACATCCAACCATCAACACCATACTATGAGGACTCACTGCTGAGAGAAGTCAAAAGTTGCATGAAGAAGACAAGTCAGGTGGTACCCCATGCACTCTACAATACTTTCACTGATCCAGGGCTAGTTCTTCGCCAAGTGGACACAAGTCTCCCACAATGCCTTACATCACAACTACATGGGACAAGACAAGACTTGGTATATTCCTGTGCATAAGGCACAAGAACAAATCTACAAACTATGTGGTCATCTACTCTATGCCAAGCTCTTCAAGGGCCTCCATGAGCTGGTTGATGCAGACCTGCAGATGCATGGTGGCTGTGTGCGAAGCCATGGCCTTGGCCCTCACCATCATCAGTGCTCGAGACAAGGCCACAGCAGTCTTGTCATCCAATCCACCACACACTGGTACCTTACCCTTTCTGCGGGCCCTGCTCTTGACCACCTCCATGATGTCATTGTTGCCATCATCATGACCCCACTTTGATGGACTGGCCTTAGGGGCCTTCATAGATCATGCTGTAGCAAGTTAGCCTCAGATGCATTGAGACACAACCACTACTTACCAACTGATGTGCCTGCCTGCACCTTCTTGCCTGCTGCCTTGCTTGACTTTTCACAGCCCTGCTTGATCTTTGCACACACATCACAGGTCTTGCCCAACATTCCAGTACAAGAGATCCTCTTCAGGGCACACTGCATGCATGGCTCCTTGTGGGTGATCATACCTGTGGCTGGGATACAGATCTTCAGCCAGGTAGGCTCTTTGTTGCTTTCAGAAATGGTCTTCTGAGACTGCTGTGTGGTTGCAGTGTCAATGAGACTGAACAATGTGCCCATGGTGACTTACCCTGTGAGCTGGCTGTGGAACTTCCACATGCGACATCTTCACTGCACCATCATCACTGAGCTCCACCACTGTCTCTTCCCCCATCTGAATGTCCTGCTCCACCTTTGCATGTGCTTCAGCTTCTTCTGCAGTCCACTGTTCATAAAGATCATCAGCCTCTGCCAGCACAGGAGCATCTTCTGCACTGACCCATACAGAAACCCCAAGCACCTTCCCTTGCTTGACCAGGGGCATCAATATTGCCTGTGGCCATCTTGTTGATGTCACACAGCCAAGTCACCAAATGAACCACTTACTGTCTTTTCCTCCCAGCACCTCAGCCATGTCACCTTCTCCTCCCACATGTCCTCCCAGTCATTGGGCACACATTTTGCCTCTGCCACAAGCCCTGCTGATGCAGCTGCAAGCTGCTCTCTTAATGAAGCCCTTTCAGCTTCCACAGGATCTGGGGTCAGAGCAAGTACAAGTTGCAAGAGATGAGGGGCATGGTTAGCAGACATGGTATGAGTAAGAGAGATGATTGATGAGGGGGAAAGAATCAGAATGATGTGAAGGTTTGAGCCATGCACTAACAAATATTTACTTTGTGGCCATGAGATGCTTATGTCATTGGTCCAGACACCTATATGTGGCATTCAATGGTCTTCTTGCATTCCTTGGCACCACATTTCCTTCGCTTCTATGTGGAATCCACTGGTGTTCTTGAATCCTTGGCACTACACCTTCACCATCACCATCCAGCTAAGTTATTTACATCCTCCATGCCTGTGGCTGACCAGGGATGGTCAGCATCTAAGTCCCCTGCAGGTGTGAGGAATCTGCATTCCTTGGACATGTAAACCCCTATCATCAACCATTCCATGACTATCATTACATTCCCAGGCCTCTCAAACATGCCACTGTTCACATGCTACCTTCCCATTCCATTCCCTCACTCCCTCTCATTGTAGGGAGCCATATACTCCCTGAGGCTGGAACAGGAATCTGTCACTAAATTCCACAGGCCTCTACAACAAACCCATTTCAGAATTTTTCCCACTCGCATCCTCAAGTTTCCTCCCAACCCCTGTTGCCTTTGGAGTTTCTACTGCCCTTCAGCATGTCACTCAGTCATCAAGACACTGTTCCAGAAATTCTGCATTTGTGCAGAGTCACCTGGAATTCAGCAGCTGTGCCACTGCTCAGTCACATCACTGGTCATCCATGCCATTTACCTCTAATAAACTCTGGTTTCCCCTGTTGCCCTAAATTCTGCAAGCTGGACTTCATGCCAGTATGCTATGCTCTGCCCCCCCTGTGCTGCTCAGCTCCACCTCCCACTTGTACACATACTCTCATTCTGTTGGAAGATACCCCTTACCATTGTTCTGTTCTTACTCTTGTCTACTACCCACCAGACTATTTCACATGCATCTGTACTTCACTGACATCCTTTCCTTTATTTTCCAGTCTTTTAGTTTTTCTGCCCCACCTTACTCCAACTTGTACCTGCTTCCCTTGTACTATATAATTCCACCATGATGTCAGAAATATACCACCCATCTTTTGGAGTCACTATCCAAGTCATTCACATATCTAAGTGTTCAAAAGTGTCTGCCATGTACTCTATATCTACTGTGTCTTCTGTGTTTCTGTGTCTCACAAGTCTTGGAATTACTTCTTTGTGCCAAGGTCATAACTCGGAATTTTGTACACAAGTCTACTCATTCCCGATTTGCCTACGTCTCTGCAGAATTAAATTCCATGCCCCATATTCAACTCCTCAATTGACCCTACCACCATATTCTATGTCTCCTTCCTACTCAGCACCCCTTGGGTTGAGCCTAGGGATTGCCCTACAGCTTCCCCCCTAATTGCATGCTACCCAGAGGTAGTGTCTCACATCATGCAATGCTATACCTGCAGCCACTGTGCTCTGGTCACTTCCTTTCTTTCAGACTCTTTTCTTTTACCATGGTCTCTGTTCCCTTTATGTTAGTAGTATACCCTTGGCCCCTGTTCTGGCCTGTCTCTTGTGTATGTGCTGTTGCACAGCTTTCCTTTACTTGTACCCTGTCTTACTTCAGTTCCAGGTTTTCCCAGACTATAAAGTCCTGTACTTAGGTACAGAATGGCACCCTTTGGACACTGGAAGGTCACCATGAGTTTCTTCTTACTTTGTCCACACTGCACATCCTGCAACCCACCATGCACAAACTATGTATACCACTCACACCACTCACATCACCAGTATGACTCTGCAGAGCATGCCACACACATCACAAGCCACTACTGCTACAAGGCACTGGGACCCACCTTCTAGCTTTGGCAGTTCAGAATCCCTTGGGATGAGCAATTCATTCCTTTCATTTTATTGTTGTTATCTAAGCTATCTAGCTTGTGTCATACAGCTACTTGGACTTATTCCTACAATGTTGCATGTCCTAAGCAAGGCACAAGGAACTAATGCTAGTGGTGGATATAAAGGGCTGTTGGATCAGAGAGAAGACAGCCAGAAAAAGAAAAGAAGTCCAACAAAAGGGAAATGAGGTAACAACAAGGTGAAAAAAGGGGTGAAATGTAACAAATAGCAATGCAAGGAAACTAAGGGTTAAGTGAGGAATGTAGAAAACAGAGGCCAGAAACTGGGGACAGGCACTGCCTCAGTACAGTGGCTCAAAAAACTGACTGCATGTTTGGACATTTTCCACTAAAGTCAATAATGCCCCATACCACCTAACCTAGGCCCTAACCTACAAGTGTATGAAAAAAAGCCCTTACCCTTGGCTCTCTATTGGTGCAGGGGTCAAGGGTTTCAGATAAGGCTTGATCAAATGGCAGCCATTTCAAAATGATGACTCATGCAGTCAGTTTTTTGACTTTATATCAATTTACATATCTAGTACTTTGTATGAACTCCTTTGGCCCTAATAACTGCTTCAATCCTTCTAGGCATGCTTTCTATTCATTTTTGACACTGCTCCTCATCAATCTTCCCCCACTCCTCCACCACTCTTTCCCACAGTCAGTGAATGCCTGTAGGAGCACTCTCATAACCTTGCAAGTCTCACAACTCTCCATCTGAAGTAGACCCCAAGACTGCCTTTGGCATCTCTAGAGCTGAGCTCAACTACACTCTGAATATTGTCGAGACTCTCACCCAGCTACCCCTGTCTCCTGTTTTGAATGCTATGGCTGAGGCTGATCGCCCTCTTACTCCTTCCAATCCATGTTATCACCAAACATGTTATGTCTGTCATCATCTCAGGTATATCTGTGTCAACTGTGGACTTTATGAATGTCCCCTTTGTCATGCCACTCGCCCTGGGCACACTCAGGCCCAATGTCTGTCGTTGCACCTTACAAGAAAGAATCTCCACTCCAGGAGTGGTAGACAATCATACCCTCATTGGAAGTGAGGATGACAATTTATATGACAACAACTTTGACTTTGACGACTCTGCCATTAGCAATATGACCAGAGAACCTTACGGAGAGTAATTGAAGTCAGAGACTTCAAGACTAGAAAGGGGGTAATGTTATGTTTCACCTCTATTTCCTCTTTTCTTTCTTATGTTTACCTTGTGTTTGATCCATTGGACTGTTTTTCCTCTCTGAGCTGTCTTCTTGTTGATCCAATGGCTCTCTGTTTCCACCACCAGCATTATCTTCTTGTTACATGTGTAGAACACATGTCACCATTGTCCAACCAATGGCATAACTACCTTGTTACATATGGATGCCTCATGGTCTGTTTCTTGTACAGTATTTAGTCTGTCAGCTCAAGTCCTGGAAACCCAGACTTGAGCTGCTCAATTATATGCAGCATTCTCAGAACTTCGCCCTCAGTGTCCCTAACTTGGACCACTCTTACTGGCATTGTCCCAAATCCTCTGTTGTTTACAGAGGTTACTGCAGCTGTTGCTCAGTAGAAACCAATAGTTTGCATTTGAGCTCTCCCTACATCTTGACTTCAGTCGAGTGTAACACTCTCACTATAGGCCCTCAGGCCTGTCCATGTGTCATGGCTAATCTATTTAGACAGGCCCATCTTAGGGTCTATATAAGTGTTGGCATTTTGGTGTGCAGGCTACCTATATGTTGTGACTAAATAGACTACATGGGGTCATACAAGTTGCACAGGGGACACCTGGACAATGCTTCTGGCTAGAATTGGCACAAAAATTGTTTCAGAGAATGCAGCATAAATGAATTGATTGTTGGATGATGGGCTATGTGTAGAGAGTAGAGATACATGTGTGGTGTACATCTGTATAATGGCCCTTACAATGTCACACACCAAAGGTGTTTGGTGAGGTGGACATGGATGCAGCTGATGAATGGAGATGAAGACCATAGCCCTCATGTGAAGAAGAACAGCCAGAAATGTCAGCAGTCATCCCTCACACAAGAATGAGTTGTCAATGCCAAAGAAAAAGGAAGGAAGCAAGTTAAGTGCCAATAAAAGTTCTTAAACACCCATGTATGGCATTCTGGTTTTTGACATATCTCCACCAATTCCACAGATACTGACACCATTCCCACACTTGCTTGTAGTGCTCAGCCATGTGATCCTACCTTCCAAAATTGGAAAGGATTTGTGCACTCCATCCAAAAGATGCTCATTTCACTAATTCTTTTGATATGGCCACCTCCATGTTAATCATTTCACTTGCCCCCTTTGCTAGGGACCATGGCTACATATATCTACCAGGAGTTCTTACCAGCTTCCATCCTGAAGTGTCCTGGTACATCCCATCCTCTTCTGCACCCTCTCAGCCTGTTCAGCTTGGACAGCATGTTCTTTTTGTCAGTATGACCTCTAGGAGGATGTTCTTTGGTCACATCAGGTCTGTCACTCACTTAGAAAGGTCTTATGTGGTCATTTCAGTCTCTCCAGTCCAAGAAGCATATTGATCCTTCCTCCCTGCTCCCTGCAATGCCCCCACACCAGCCCTGTCCATCATTCTTCCAAAATTGCAACAGCTACAGTATAATCTACTGTTCTCCACTCTCCCTGATTGCATCCATGATGAGTATGACACACATCTTGCCTCCTTATTGCAAGATACAGCAGAAGATGCTCCCCCTTTGTCCCCTCTTCCAACAGAGCCTCATACATGAAGTTTTTATTTGCTTCACTGAGAGGACAGTTAGGGGGGGAAAGTTGTGATCCCCTATGCTCCTGTCACCCCACAGACCCCCAAAGCTTGACCCCTGTTGACATCTGTCATCCCACTTTGGCCCAGAAGCACTCTCTTTGAGATGTGACATGCACAGCCTCCCCCTAATGCAATTCCAGTGCACTTTCCCAGTTTCTGACATTACTTGACTCATACTTTGACATTCTGACTGTCTTTGACTTGCCTATTGCCAATACTTACCAATCTTTTGACCTTGCTTACTGATTCTTCACTTTTTGGCTTACTTATCCTTACCAATGCTCACCAATGCTTTCTAAGACAATTACCCACTGCTTACATTCCTTACTCATCAGTTACCAATCACTTACCAAGCATTTGCACCTTGTTTTCCATAGGCAATGCCCCTGTACTGTATATGAATCACTGTACTTAGATAGCTGAATAAGAAGAAGATGTCAGAGAGCCCCTCTTGCTTGCAGTTTATCATCTCTCAGTAATTCATTCAGCAGCTACAACAGTTGAGACTTTATTAAGGGTCTAACTATTGTCTACTTTGCTTATCATTGTCTATCATCAATATACTTTGCTCCAAGTCCTCCCTGAGCTCAGTGCAGCTCAGAGCATCAAATTAAGTCACCATCCATCTGTCTGTAGGCTGACAGCAGTCTACCCTATTGCATTCTATTGCATTCTTGCTCCCTCTTCGTCAGGAGCACCCCCAACCCTCAGCACTCATCTTTGAGTGTTGTAGCTCACAAAAACCCTCCCAAATCAAAGGTTCTACCATCTAGGTACCATGAAGGCACACCACCACTTGCTCTTATTGTCTTTTGTGTTGGTTTTGTTTGGTTTTCACCACTGAACCACACTTTGACTCACACTGCTCAGAGGTCAAGCAGCACAAGCCTGTCACTACTGCACCCATTCAGAAGACATCAAAATCTGTTGTTTCAGGTGTGTTGCCTATCACCCTCATCCATCTCTCTTTGATTGATGACATGTCACACAGGCCATCATGCAGCTACTATGACACCTGATGAGGATATGTCTACAGGACATGAGTCAAATGAAGATGGTGCTCAAAATGTGAGATCCAATTGTTTTGGGCCTCTTCACAATGCATCTGATCAACAAGGCTCTGTACAGGACAACCCCAGTGATGTTCATTGTGATGAGGCATCCATGGAAATATTGACTGAGTCTCTTCCTCCTGGTAAGTTGTCATCACACATCTTAATCTGCATAAATCATCTCATCCCTCTTTTTGTGCATTTCATGCCCCTTCTCCCTATGTGCATTACACACCATGTCCCTTTATGTGCAAAATTTGTCTGCTCTGGTATCATTGACCTGGATACTCCTGTCCCATGTCCATTCCATCACTCACCACCTCATCTACAGCCCATCCTGCAGATGTCCTCAACCCTGACATTTGTAAGTCACTACATCTTTTTTCATCCTCTCATTCCTCATGATCCCCCTTCAGGCATGTCCACAAACACTGAAATTAATGAAGGTAATCCTTGCCTCACAACATCATCCTACCCTAGCCCCTTCTCCCAGGCCCCTCCCATCATACTCCCCATTTATTGTCTCCTCCTCCCACCACTCCTTCCCATCATACTGCTTCCCCTCTTCCCCCAACCTCCAATGGTATTTCCCTCTCTCTCCTCCATTTCCCCTCTCACCCTCTCCAGATCATCCCTGTCTCCCTCCTTCCATCCACAAGCCAAGCACATCTGATCTCAAGGTCTCCAACAAGACCATCAAGCATAACCTTTTCCCTGCTTGTCCCCCCACCCCCTCCTCTTCAGCTGTTTCCCCCCAGAACATGAAGTGTGCCACCTCAAACTTGCTTTCCTCAGTTGAAGATGATGTCATGCTCCCTTCTGATTGTATGTCTTCATCCATTCATTCCTTCTTCATTTCTCATAACCAACATCATTTTGTCCACCCTTACTCACAGCAAGGTCTATCCACTGTGGAAAAAAGTTCCAGTGTGCCAGTGATCCTCCCCCTTCATGTTTGAGTCAGGTTGTGGAGACCAAAGACATTGTGGAACAGCTTAGATGATCCCCTCATACATCTTTCTTCTCATGTGTCTTGTCCATTCATGTTAGCCATCCCACATGTATCCTTGTGCACCTCAAATTTGATTGTCATGTGTCCTGCTTGTCCTCCATTGCTCAGCTGTCTGCTTAAATTCAATGTGCCACCCTCATTGCCATGCTAACTCTTCTAGGTCCATCACTGCTCCCTTGTTTGAGCACAGTATGCTGTCCAGTCTACACCAAGTTGATTACATAATATGTTAGGTACTTAGTTTACACTTTGTCTTACCTTACACCTCAGACTTCATCATTTCAGGTCTGAGGTACAGTGTTATTCCACTACTAAAGTACACCTTTCTTTACTCACTACCTACACAGTTCTGTGTCTAGTTTAGTAGATAATATAGACTTTGTCATTTCAAGTCTGAGTTCTGTGTCTAGGCTAACTTGAGTAGCCTTCTGCTCTCACCCTACCCACAAAAAAGTTGACTACATGGGGTCCAGCTCCACAGGTCAGCCTGGATCAGCTTGTATGCATCACCCCATTCAACTTCTGGTGCAATGTACCCTGTGGTGCCAGCTATACCACAGAACTTTTGTTTTTTCCCACTGCAAGCAGATAGGCAAGCTAAAACTAATGATGGAGAGATAACCACCCTCAAGAGGATGATGATATTATCTGGTTTGAGATCCATGTGTGCAATGAGTTGAGCATGCATGAATGCAACCCCCTCAATGAGTTGGCTGGCAGCAGACCAGAGGTGGTCATCAGGCTGGTCAAGAGACATAAGGTGACCACCAGTTGTTGGAGTTTATCACTTTTACCTTAGTTGTGGTTCACCAAGCACAGCATTATGTAATCCAAAAGCAGACACTTAGCAGTTTATTTTTTTTCCTTACTGCACCTCAGCTTCAACCAACTTGAAGTCTGAGTATATTCCTCTCTATAGACTTGACAATCCTGCAGCTCATCATCCTCCAAAACCAGTGACAGGCATAGAGATCACAGTTCCACCCTGCACTGGCCAGAACTTGGCCCCAGAGCTGGTGTGGTTCATGGAAGATTGAATATTGCAAAGGAATTGCAGAATTTGAACCTCCTGATGCCATGCAGTTTCAATGAACTGCAGGTAGCCAATGCAGCCATCAGTCTTGGGTCCAATCACAGCAAGGTTCTTGTGCTGCAGTATATGTCAATCAGAGGCATGAAATACGAAGAAGCAAATGAACCAACCCCAAAGACACAGTAGTCAACCATGTATTCCATATTCAGTAGGTGTTCTTGAACATCATCTGCACCAAAAATGCCAAGCCCGTCCTTGTCCTCAAGCACATCCACATGTTCTTCCTCACCTGTGCAATGTTCTGGGATGGCATCCATTCAACTGGCTTGTAGCTGTGGCACTGGATGATTCTTCGAGTGGAGTGAAAGGACCCCTTTGGCTGCAGTCTACAGGCTGTTTAAGGGTTCGTGCCCTGTCGTTGTCCAGGTCCTCAGCCAAATTTTTCAGCTCTCCTACAAGATTATACATTTCGCAGACGAATTCAATCGCCCCAAACTTTTGATGGTAAGATTAAAGTGGTTGCAACAGATAGAAACCTGTATTCATTCAGCATAATTACATCCATCACAAGGCAGCAGCAAAAGACCCACCGCATTCCTCTGATGATACGCCTCAGCATGCTCGGCGTTGTCTCGAGAAGTTTGCATGACGATGTATCGTGAACAGCCAAGTCTTTATTGAGGTACTGACTACATATGGCAACTACGAAAAACTTGCGCTTCGCTGTCTCCTTCAAAAGCATCTTTCCTGCTCACGCAGCGGCTATTGCTTGGAGCAACATTCGAAAACAGTCATCCTCTTGCTTCAACGAAATAAATTCCGAGACAAAGAACGGGTTGAGATGATGTGCAGACGTGACCTTGAGGTAGTTCTTTGGCCTGTACTTGCGCAAGGCATCGGTAGCATCCCTGTTCCCAATAAAGATCGGGAAACCCCAGGGCATCTCTCTAAACTCCAGTGGATTGGTGAATGAAGTCGCCGTCAACCGGGCACTTACGTCTCATATTTTTTATCGGTGCTACCATCGGAGAAGGGAGGCTGTATGAAGTATGTGGCGAAGTTACCCGCCTTGACGGAAGAGGGCCTCTGCGCACAGCTTTTGTTTGCGTCTTCCCAAAAGCAACGTAGAATGTGATAAAAAGTTGCAAATTCTCACTCGTTACGAAGCATCAATGTTGAATAACGACACATCATGAGGCTTGACCTAGTTAGGCCCTGTTATCGGAAGTACTAGGTGATTTAGTCAGCCGCGGACGCTTGCTTTCTCGCTCGTCCGCGTCCTCGCGTTGTGTCTGATCATCCTCACGACGTTTGTCCCCCTTGTCGAAACTCGCGATTATGTGTTTCAGCATGGCCATATCATGCTTAGCTTCGATGGGAGCCCCATCGAAAACCCCGGAGGGCCGCCAGATGTCTCTGTTCACATTCAGGGGATATCGCACCTCTCCAATCTTCCCTGCCCAGTCGAAGTCAACGAACATAAACTCTGTCATGTCAGATCCCAACACCATAATGTTCATGCTACGAACGTCACCATGAACATAGCCATGTTGATGTAACTCATCAAGGTGGGTTCTGATCTGTTCGAAAGCCAAAGGCGGAGGGTCAACATCACAGAGATCCTTGTAACCGTCTTGTGAATCCATCACCACCATGCATCATCCCCCATGTAGCGTGTCGAAGCCGTGGAGCGCTGGTGCCCGTCCCCGTGATGCAGAGAACCGGTGAACCTCCACTGAATAATGGCGCACAAATTTGATACAAATGGGCTCGCCAGCGAGAGTACCGAAAAAGATAAGCTTGTTTGGGTACTGCGATGTGTATTTGAATTCTTTCGTTGCATTTGCGTTACTTCCAAGAGGCTTGAAGGAGGTGGGATACGGGAACAGTTGTGAATGGTGCGAGCAGGATGGGTTATTATTCAGTGAGAGACATCGATAATACCCTTCAAGCATGACAACAGCATTCTTAAACGCTTTAAGGTGACGAGCCACTTCGGTTTGCATATAGGTATCTGTTGGATGGTAGTGGAGTGGGAGAACGAACGAGAGAGGCTGGATAACCGGGCGAACGTTCCACACTGCTCCTGCAAACATAATTAACGGTCCTGATTGAAAATACGGTTATTCATGGTGCATAGTGAACTAGGAACAAATTGAACAGACCAAAAAGAAGAATGATGAAGCAAGGTAAAGGTGACAACCCCATCGTTTCTGCGCACTGTCTCGAAAACTCCACATAGTGGAAAGTTGCTTGGTTATAGGGATCAGCTTGCGTGCTACCCACTCCATTTTTTATTTCGGCGATAGCATAGCGATACTCTCCCTCGCGCATATCCCCACCCGTCATGTGGCCACGATGCGTCGCGGAGGGCATGAAAGTCAGGCCCCACCCTTCAAACAGCTCACGGAGTTGAACAGCGCGCTTCTGTTCATCATCATAATGGTTTGACATCACAGTGTGCAGCTTCATCACAAAAGAATTGTCTTCGGAGGTCAGTTCAACCACGTCACAGTCATGAAGGAAGTCACCAAATGCACGGTGAAGCAAAGTCGGAGGTATGATGGCCACAGCATCGGCAGGGCGGTTGCAGTAAATAGTCTGACCATCGATCACTTGGAACTTAGAAAATTCGGAAGGTCGCACAATGGATGACGGGGCCTTTGGCTTAAATTGGGCAAGGAAAGCACCTCGCTGTGTCGACACGCAGTGTTGCGGATGCAAAGGGGGCCCCTGCTCTACTGCCCGGGTATACGATTAGACAGAGCTATGAGGTAATCGTGACGGACAGCTCACTGGCATGTGGTGATCCGACAATGATATGAAGATGCTCGGGAACAGGGGGTTCTGCAAAGATCGTGGACAATCTCTTCACACTGTGCAAAGATCTCTCGGGAGGAAGCTCGAGACCCTCAATTGTTTGCTTTAGCGCATCCTTGCACAATAGGGAAACGTTCCAAAGTGTTAACAGGCGCGTGTCTGTGGTGCGAAAGGCAGCTGCGTTTTCTCCTTTGATCAATCGCTTGAGGTGAGAAACCGTCTGCGTCATAGCGACCTTAACCCCGAAGATGGCGCAGACGTCTTCACCTATTATCCAGCAATTGAGAGTAGTGACATCTTGGCGTGGAAACTGGACAACAACACAGAGAGTCTCGAGAACTGTAGTACCCTCAAAACATGCGAATATCTTCTGCCTTCCGCTGAGAAGCGTACCATCATTGTTCGTGTTGAGACTCTGCCGGAGATGACCCTCCGAGATCCTGAACAGCCTGATGGAAGATTCGGGCAAATCACGGAGATCACTATCACTGTTTTGGATTTGCTGTTTGAGCAGCAATGACACTTGCATCTGAACGGATCCGAACGATTCGCTCTTCTGATGCGTCCGTACCTCAAAGCCAGTAGTAGATCTCTGGGTATGGTGCATCTGCAAAGCAGGTATGAGTGGCCAGGAAAGCTTGGATCGCAGCCTGCAACATACCCACTATGATATGGATGTGGCGCGTTGATGGTTGTGCTGTGAACACCTCTGATATCTTATCCGAAGGGTACAAGAGTTCCCGCGAAATCATGACATCGAAGCTGGTATCACTGGAGGTACCTCGTACCCAGTAGGAGAGTTTGAAACTGTCAGACATGTTGGAAGGAAATTATTGTCTTTGCCGGCATTTTCCGGTAACAATTACGGGGTTGGGGAAACCTTGCAAGTAAGGTAACCTTTGTAAACAACGTAGCGTGTTGCTCGTCGTCCATTAAACTCGGGCAACAAAGAGAAATGCAGCCATCGACGCCGACGACTGCGGTGTTCCCGGCGAGTAAGACACATAAGCCAAATGCCCATCCATTACGCTGTCAAGACGACGACGTCGGGACTGTTGTCCAGGTCTAACTCGTCTCCTCACACGGTAGACCCCGTCAAACATCACTATGTACCACCGTCGCCTACGAGGAAACGCCACGGACACTCGCATTCGGTCGAGTCTGTTAACGGTATATATAATGTGAGCGAAGGACAGTACCCGTCTCCTTTACCCGTTCCACCGACATTCTGCGTTAATGCGGGGTCTCCTACACGCTCTACATTCGCGACACCACAACGCAAAAGGGCAGATACCCTCCCATCCGGGTCGACGAATCCTTGCGTGAGCGTTGCCAACGATGCTACTCTGACAGATAATAGCCTGCCTTCCGAACCAAAGCAGTGGACCACAGACCAGCTCATTACCTACCTTTCTACATCCCTCGGTTCCAATGGTGACCTGGGCGTACCGAACACAGATGGTGTACTTGATTGGGTCCGGGAATGCGGTTTGACTGGGAGAGAGTGGCTCCGGCTTACTGATAGGCACCTTGCTGGGTATGTACGAGTGTTACTCAGACTGCTCCACTCGCTCAAGTGTGGTTTCGTAGCACATCCCTCTCCGATGCCCAGATATCTCTCGTACTGGACAGCTCCCGTACGCTTCGTGCTGACTCGCTGAGAAGGCGTATATGGATGGATTCGTCCGACGCAGTGAACGCTACGAGTTCGTCTCCGTTCCACGGGGCACTCTACAGGAATTCTATCTCATCGACAGACTTATCAACACCCTCTCCCAACACGACCGTGGATACCGAAATCCCAATATCCCCTCCCCTCACTTTACACCGCTCGAATTCGGTGTCCGAGTCTTTCATGCGACGCTATCGCGACCTTGCTCACATACGCGTCCGGAGGAGGGGAAAGGTTAAAGGTCTTGTGGAGACCTGGGAAGGAGAGGTCAATCGCCGGGGAAGTTTGAGTAACACTGAAGGTTCGATTTGTAGCGAGGGGTCTGTATCTGGGAGCGATGCAGGGAGTGAGAGCGAGGTTAGTGAGGAACATGACGTCGGCCAGGCTTTCCCTGAAGAAGCCTTGTCTACTAATGGATCCGGTTCGCCGACTCCATCGATGGCAGACACGACGCTTATTGCTTTAAACCCTCCTCCACCTTATACCTCGATTAACGCACTGGACGAGGAGGAACCCAGCATAGAGGATTTGCTTGCGTCTTCCGGCTCTCTCGAGGGTGCGCGTGCATGGGAAGCAGACTTACGGCTGGGGGAAACTGTGAAGCGTATCCCAACTGCCGGTCCTGCCTATCCTGCTATGGGGGAGGAGAAAGTAGACTCGATACGAGAGGCTGGCCTCGAGGAAAACAACGATCGAGGTGGAAGGTAGGTCGTCACACCATTGTTCAGCGGCTTTTCCGATAACAACCGTGGTCACAGTGAATGCCCGGACGTTACCATTGACCCAGCGGACGAAGGCCCCCAGAATACCGTGCCGAATGCTATTAGCACTGTCTGTGTCGGCGTTCAGGTCGGCGACGCTCTTTCCTTGGCGAACCGCTCGCCATCTGAATGGGCAGACCAAACAGATGCTATTTGCGCTATTGAGGCTTCTCTCGTGTCTACCCGTGCAGAACTCGAAACATTCAAGGCACGTCTAGAGGTCCTCGAAGCTGACCTCTTGCATTCCGAGGAGACTTCACTACAGCCTTCCGACGAAGCAAACGGCAATTTACTCCAAAACGAAGAAACACTGCGCAAAAAGGATGCCCAGGTCTCAACGGACGATGGACAGTTGCTCCAGCAAACGCAGGACGAGACAGCACCATACACGGAGCTGGACTGGAGAGGCATCGTCCGTTCAGTCTCCACTGGGATCTTGACCTGGTTATATCCGTATACTCAGCCGATCAGACATCGTGATGCCATGAATTGTCCCAAACGCCGTAAAGATAGCCTCTCTCCAGTGCGAGCGACGGCGCTGCCAGCTATGCGCCTTTCATCGATCATCACGTTCTCTTTTTTGCTTTGTGCAGCTCTTCTGCGTCGAGCTGGGCTTACGCGGTGGATTCGCAAACCTTGATTACAGACGTTGCGGGTCGGCCAGTGTTATTCGTGGTCGTGTTTGTCTCGTTATTCCGTTCTGAACCATGTTGTTGACAGACTTTTCTGCTATACCTCCTTTGTCGGTTGCTTTCACTTGTCATTTATGTGACGACCATGCTTTCATATACCCCAACGGAATGTTTGTTATGTGTAGATGATAGTGTTGTTTGACCCGTCGTAGGAGAGCACGTAAATGATAGTCATCTGGGTGTTAGTGTTGTCATGGCGAGTACTTTCCGGAACAACTATTATGAAGTGACTATCTGACGATAGAAGGCGTTTCGATGACCTTACTGGAGTTCGCGCTGGGAACAGAGAATGCCGAACGCATGAGAAAACAAAGATGAATCCGACGTTGTGAAATGGCAGGTTGCATGTATGCATAGCATAAAGAGAATGAGATACACGGGCGTAGGGACAACACGATACTCTGAAGAAAGGGGGCATGGTTTTCCATGACAGCAACACACATCCATGCAATGCGGGGAACCAACCAAGGTTGTATGGGGACAAATGGGAAATGCTGTTTTCGTTTACTCGTGAACGGCCTCCTCATGTTCGATGGCGAGAATTGCTTGGCGCTTCTCGCGCAGCCGCTCGGCGCGACGTTCCCGGGTTGCCTGGGAATTGAATGATGTTAAGAAACGAATGGGTGATGGTGAGGAAAGAGTGTACGCACCTTGTTCTTGACACGACGAGCCTCCATCTGGTCGGAGAGAACCTTTGTGCGGTTCTTCTCGGCTTTGGCTTTGTGGATGTACTCCATGAGCACACGCTTGTTCTTGAATACGTTACCCTTCGATTTCTGGTAAAGGGAGTGGTAACTACGACAGATAACGTCAGAACACCCAAAACAAAAAGAACGGGAAATACAGACAGATGCTTGTCGATTTTCCCCGCCTCTCTGTACTTTCTCAGCAGCCGTCTCAAGACTCTCTGTCTCCGCATCCACTGCACCTTCGTAGGCAACCTCGCCTCAGCCGTACCCTTCCTCTTACCAGGGCCCGTATGTCTGCCCTTTCTTTTGGCAGCATGGAGGTCGCGTGTGCGTGCGCGAGAGTGGATGACCGTGGGCTTGATAATCACGCGGCCCTCCTTGATGAGCTTCTTGACGTGCGCACGGGAGTTGGCGTTTCCGATTTCAGCTTGTTCTGCGGGGTCGAGCCAGATTTTGCGTTTACCGACGCCAGAGACGGCGGCTGCGAGCCGTTTTTGGGAGCGTAAATTGACCATGATGCTGGCGTCTGTGGTTTGATGCGATGTCACAATCAGTCTATGAACGGACAGCAGCGGGGGTGCCGTCTCACCTTGATGTTGTGGTGTCTTCACGCAAGGGAAGGCTCTTTTGCACTCAGACTTGTGATGACTCTGAGACGGCCCCGGGTGGCTGATTATGTAATGGTTTCAAGCCACCTACCCAAAGTGTGTAAGAACTGTACAGCAGCTGCGGAAGCTGCCGTGCCGCTTCGGCAATTCTTTGCAGCTTATTTTTAGGACGTTGTGCGTCACTTGTACCTGGAATTCATTTTAGGACGGGATGCTGGCAAAACGACCCCTGACGACCCTGGCCGCATCGTGGCATACTAATTAGATTATTTGCACTCAGTCGGGTGTGTTTACCTATAGGAAAATACCCTGGTACGCAGGGTGGACTAGCCCACGATGCGAAACCACACTCACATACAACACAGACACGTTCCGGTCTCCATTCCCACCAGGCCGTGTGCATTGGCGCGTTGGCGGGATATTGCCATTGGCTCTCGTGAAATGATGGTGCCATCCAAGGTTCATGCAGTTTAGTAGGCCATCTTTTTTTACGGTCTGCGTTAGCTACAAAGGTTTGAGAGTTAGCTTCTTGTCAATCTCTTGTGTCGAACACGCCCGCCGAACAGTCAAACTATTGTCAAGATCTGTGAGACCGGGGTTAATGGGGATATACAGGTATGTGAATGTAACAAGTTGTCAGGGTCGCTGTGGTCCCCATGGTTCACATACCATCGTGTCTCGGAAGACAACGGTGGGTGCATCTTCTTGTCACGATCACTGCACAGGACCTGCCTCGTGTACATCAGATCTAGTAAGGTGCGGAACAGAGGAGGTCTGCTTAGTCAGCACCGGAGGGTCTCGTCGATAGTGCATCAAAACATCAGCGCTCCCTTTTTTTTACACCACAACGACGACGGCGACGACGACAAACGACGGGAACACATCGTTCATGACGACAACGTCAGTTATGGAATTATCGCTATAATATACATCAGGCAAGACGACGTATCCCGCTCCGTTGCTGGTGTCGCTGTCGCTAGATTGTGTTTAACTTGCTCTGCCATTCCGTAAACTCATATACGTATCGACTGTCACCCCTTCTGTGCTTTCTTTATCTCTCTTCCAGCACGATGACGGTCCCTGGCTCCGCTCAATCGGAGGGGGAAGGACAGGATAGCAGCACAAGTTCCGAGAAACCGTCCCAAGAAGACTGTAGAAACAGCTCGTCTCGGCCTTCCACCTCCCATCGCCCTTCCACTGTCCACCATCCCACCCCAAACACACATCTCAACGGTCAACAAAGCCAACAGTTGAAAAGTGATTCTCCGATGCCGTCTTCTTTGCCACCTGATCACCCCCCATCACCTCCCTCTGCTGCCATTGCGGGAAAACACACAAACCTTCCCCATGATAAACTCGTCATGCCGCCTATCAGGCAAAGACACCACTCAGACAATCCTCTTGTACCTGGCTCAGCGACGCCGTCCATCATCGATTCACCTTCCGAGTCCGACAGTTGGAGCGCACCGTCTACGAGACCCCCTTCTCAGGTACCCAGCAGAACACCCAGCATGTCGGCCGGCGTGTCGGGTAACAAACTACTCCATTCATCTCATCAATCGTCGTCGACAGCTACTGCGTCCACGGTCAAACAACCCGCCACTAAGAACAAAGTGCCATCGAGACCCCCTACAGCATCCGCCTCGCCGCAGCCCCCCTCTACACCTAATCGACCACGCTCGGCGTCCAATGCTCACTCAGAATCTGGCAAATTCTCATTAGCGAGTCTTATCTCCTCAGCGCCAAAACTGAGTCGCAAATCATCTGCCTCGAGTAAAAAATCAGACTCTGATGGCGAGCGCAAATCCGTGACCGGCGAGAGTGCTGTCAGTCTCACGCAAAAGTACGGTGTCTGCCAGAAAGTGGCCATTGGCAGAGGTGCAACCTTCTGTCGTGCGGCTCGCTCATAAGTGGGACAGGTCAGAGGAGAAATTGTATGCTGTTAAGGTGAGTCTCGTCATTTCGGCCGCTCGGTACGGCCGAGCGGCGGCGCATCTTCTTTCCGTCTTCGGGACTTGATGGGCCACTCACGTCACCAATCATGCTTATCATTCTTCCTCTTTCCCCGCAATCACTTGCAGGAATTTCGGAAGCGGCGCAAAAACGAATCCGAAAAAGAATACGTCAAGAAGCTCACCGCCGAATTCTGCATCTCTTCGACGCTGCACCACGTCAACATCGTTGAAACTGTCGATTTGGTCCAGGACGAGAACAAGCTGTGGTGTGAGGTCATGGAGTTCTGTCCGGGTGGCGATTTGTATGCTGCGATCAAGAAGGGGGGCATGTCGCCTAGCGAAGTGGAATGTTGTTTCAAGCAGATCTTGACGGGGGTTTCGTACTTGCACAGTCAGGGCGTGGCCCATAGAGACATTAAACCCGAAAACTTATTTTTTGACACCAAAGGTCACCTCAAGGTCCGTTGCTCCACTTTCCTATTTTTGACCCGACGGCTGCAACGTCCTATGTTACTAGATCGGCGACTACGGCGCTTCGACTGTGTACCGTCTTCCTTGGGAAACAACTGTTCACATGTCGACTGGTCTGTGTGGTAGCGAACCGTACATCGCTCCAGAACAGTTTTTGGGAAAACGTAAGCCCAACCCTTACGCTCTTCCCATTACTTCCGAGGTAGCCTAACGTTGATTATTTGGCACCTTTCCTCCCCATCTCCTCGTTTCGACTGTTACCCCTTGTGGTAATGGCCGCAATTCGACTTTAAATTTTAAACTCGCTGGTGATGCAGCGTACGATGCGCGCTTAGTCGATATCTGGGCATGCGGCGTTGTTTATTACTGCCTGCATTTTCAAGAGATGCCGTGGCGCGTCGCGCAGATGTCAGACAACCTATATGCTGCGTACGCGAATGCGTGTATTGCACACCCAGTCAAAGACAAGGATCTCCTTTCCACGACGTCATTGTCGAAAACGTCTGGCTCGGCTTCTACATCGTCTTCTGTGAAAGATGCACACTCTGCCACGAGTCACCACAGCTCATCGCGCGAACGGGACAAAGACAAGGATGTGATATATCCACAGACGATTAACAATCTGTCGCCAAAACAGTGTCGATCGCTCATACGCAGGATGCTCGAACCGGATCCGAAGAAGCGCGCCGCGATCGAGGATGCGATGGCGCACCCGTGGGTGGAGAGTATTGAAGTGTGTCATTTGGTGGAAAAACCGAAGCATATGCACACATATGCGATTATGCAGGCTCAGGCACAGTTTGGCGGATCGTGAGGCGTGTGCGAGTAAAGAGGGGGAAGGGGGATCGTTGGTTGGTTGGTGGTGACGGTGAGACTGTTAGGACAAGTCGCGGTGGAGGAGTGGTTACCGAGGTGGCTGGAGGTAGTTGAAGGTGGAGTGTCTTTTGTTTGCATACGTCGGTGCGTCTGTAAATACCTTCCAGACGGCGATGGCAATGCCCTCGCTACCCAGTATCTTACAACCACGCGCATCCCACGTCATTCGTATCATATCACGCTGAGTTGTTGTATTTTCTTCATCTTTCATCTTTCACTTTCGTCCACCGATGTCTTCTCTTTGAGTTGTTGTAGCAGTCGTTCTTCGTAGCAGTGGACTAAGTCCAATCAGTGTATGTTCCCCCATGCACCGTGGACAAGTACTCTAGTACCCTCTCACTGCACGATTAATACTTCCCTTTACATATATTTTTTGACCCGCTGACGGTGATCATGCAAATATAACAATTGATGAGTATTCCCTCTAATTGAAGGCGTCCGCTTATGAGAGGCGGCATTAATATTCTATGCGCAGAGGTAATCAAGAAAGCAGGTATACGTATATATCACCGATACTAAACCCTACAGCCCTAATAAGCGCGGCCTACTACTTTACAGCCACAACAGAAGCGGTTGGGGTTGTAAAAGAGAAAAGGAAAAAAAATCAAATCCCATGTGAATACACTGATGTGAATCGGATCGAAAGTACTACTGCTGTTGCTCTACACGTGGGGTTGTGGGTTGTGATTTATTGGCGCCGTGCGGTGACAAGGAATTGAGGTGATATGAAGGGGACAAGATCGACTTTTTCTGGTCGGTGATTAACGGAATCCATCTAAAATACTCGCTACACGTCATGCCCCTTCATTACCTAGCAAGCCATTCCGCTGGTTAGCCCCAAACACCAGCAATGGACAGAAAGAAGGGGGGGAGCCACTTACCACTCTCTTTCGTCCATTCATCGTGTCTCCTAATATCCGCCTCTGTCACAGTCGGCCGAACGCTCTCCAGACTCTTCAAGAAATCCTGTATCCTCAGCGGTGGTTCTTGCAGCTCGTCGGACCCGATTTCGTTCCACGATTTCTCGACGGCATCCCGGTCGCCCGGTGAACAGGGTGTCCATTTGATTTTAGAGGGTGATGAAGAGTCTGGGTCAGGTTTGACAGGTTTAAAGTGTGTAGCTGAGATGACCTTTCGTACGGGCTGCATCAACGCGTCCCGCACGACTATGGAGATATCGGAACCGGAGTAGCTGGGGAGGGTGAGCATCCGTCCAGGCGATACAGAGAGAAAAACCCTCACCCTTCCGTCCGCTCCGCCAACAATTTGTAATCCTTGTGAGTCAGCTGGCACGGTGTCGACCCAACATGTATCTCAAACATGCGTCTGCGGGCCTCCTTATCCGGTAGAGGGATATATATCCGTTTCTCGAATCTGCGTTTGATAGCGGGGTCGAGTTGCCAGGGAATATTGGTCGCACCGAGAACGAGAACACCGGTGTCATCGTGTCCGACACCATTCATTTGCACGAGGAATTCGGTTTTGATTCTGCGGGAGCCTTCGGATTCGGATTCGTTGCGGGTGCTAGCGAGGGAGTCGACTTCGTCGATGAAGATGATGGCGGGTTTGTTCTCGCGCGCCATGTCGAATAGATTACGCACGAGTCTACGCGATGAAGATGAGAGCCTTTGATGAGAAGAACGGCAGATTTGACGAACCTTTCCGAATCACCTTGCCATTTACTGACGAGGTCACTGGAGCTGACGCTAAAGAACGTGCTGTTGGCTTCGGTGGCCACGGCTTTGGCGAGGTAGGACTTTCCGGTGCCAGGTGGACCATATAGCAAGATTCCGCGCCAGGGGGTGCGTTTTCCGGTGAAGATTTGGGGGAACTTCCTAGGCAAGATGACGGCTTCTTGGAGAGAAGCCTTGGCACGTTCGAGTCCGGCGACGTCGTCCCACTTTACGTTTGGCTTCTCGGATAAGATGGCACTCGATAGGCCTGCGCGGAGTTTCTTGAGTTCGGGATCTTGATCGTCATCACCACCATCCTTTCTGCACGAGGCATCATTGATCGATGAGATATGGAACGTTTGGAGGGAGTGGGGTGGAGTGTGTTGTCATGCATACCCTTTACCACCGACGCCAGCGACTGTTCCATTGGCACCCACAGCCCTCCGGCCACGATGTTCTTCTTGAGCTTGGAGATGCTTCTTGAGGGTTTCAGCTCTAGAGAGGTATTCTTCGATCTTGCCGCGGATCAAAGCCTTGGACTTTTCATTCTTCTCGTCTGTAGCGGGAGTGTCAACGATGAGGTCGGGTAGGAACGTAGAGAAAATACATTTCTGAGCGAGCATGAAGTAGTCGAGGGAGTTCATGTATTGCTTGTATGCCTCCGCATAGTTTTGTTTGGTGTCCTCGTCGATGGCACGTTGGACGATCTCGATGGCTCTCTGAGGAAAAGATCACATCTTGGTTATGATGTCCAGAGACCGAAAAGCACGCACGTCCAGGTTTGTCTGGCCAGACATGATGATGACGGTGCGAATGACACCCTGACACAGCGCAGTCGATGCGGATGACCTAATCAAGCCAAGTCGGACGATGGCGACGAGCAGCGATGGCAGTCCGTGCGAGCAGATCCTCGCCAAACTCATCGCCGTGGTCAAGCACACGCAGATATCAGGCAGCAACCTCACTCCGCAGACGACGCAAGCCCTCCTGCAAGCCGTACGTCCGCGTCTCGTCTGCGATCGCATCTCGCTGAGAGAGAGTGTGTGTACAGACCAACGATTACAAGAATACGCTACTACAGGCCAAGAAATATGCTGCCACGCTGCCTGGTGGAGAGCTGAACGCGGAGGAGCAAGAGGAGTTGATTGCGATGCTGGAACGATTGCGGGATCACAAAAAGTCGGTTTCCGTCCGTCCACGAGGCTGGAGTGATGACATCTCGCCGTAGACAGCAGCTCACTGAGCTCTCGGAGCGCTTATCGAGTATGGTGCACAGCGAGAAGATGGAAGTCGACTCCACGGCTTCCACGCCTTCGTAGACGTACTAGCGTATATACACCGATGGCCATGCATAACCGAGGGCGTCTAACATGACTGACACGGCCAGCGTCGCCGTTTGCATTTCCGGTGGGATCAGATAAAACTTGGTGTTTGTGTGTGTTTGTGTCCCTCCCGCATTGGACGCGGTGCAGTCGCAGTCGCAGTCAAAAAACAACAGCACCGTCGCCGTCGTCGACGTCGAGCCGGTTTGAACACTGTGGAATCTCCGTCTTCCAGCCTTGATTTGCTTCTACTGATCAGCAATATTAAACGGAACGGGTAAGAAACATCCATTCACTACTGACAGGCCACTGTCCTCGTCGTTGTCGTCGCTGACGGTCACTCACTCGTCCCCAGCACTCGCCGTGTTTTACCAGATACCACCCCATACCCGACGCACCCCGTCTCATGGCCCTTCTCGCTCCATCGTCCGACTGGCACCCCCCTCGAGATCTCACCATGGACCCTGCCTCAAACTCGCCCTCGTCTCGCCAACGCTCCTCCCCGTCAAACGATCACAACGCCCCACTCCATCCGCAGCAGCAGCAGTCTCTCCCCCAACCTCACCAGCAGAGCCAGCAACCCTATCCTTACCCCGTTCAACAGCAGCCACAGCAACAGGGCCCGTGGCTGCCCACCGTGTCCGGGGCTCCCTTCTACCCCCAGTTCTACCAAAACCAGCACCCTCCACAACCCTACCCCCTCCATCCTCAGCCTCAAAACCCCTACTTTGACCCCGCAGCCAACGCTCAGCTCGCCCAGTGGGCCTACCAGCAGATGATGTTCTCCCAAGCCCAGGCACAGGTCCAAATGCCCTCTCGGGGCACCGCTTCCGCACCTTCCTCCCCGGCCGATTACTACGGCCCAGCGCCACTCTTCAACCCTTTCCCAAGTGGCACCCCTCCTCCCCCTCCTCCCCAACACCACCCACAGCACCATGCCCCCGGATATACCCAGCGCACGTCCTCCGCGGACGGCGCCCGTGGCCAATACGATGGCTTTCATCCATATCGTCGTCCTCAACAGTCCCCTCGGACTCAGGATGGCGATCGATGGACCGGTGGATTGCCTCAGCCGCCCTACGCGCACGGAGACGCATCTGCATCCTCCACATCTGTCAACTCTAGCTCATCATCGACGCGTGGCAACGCCAACCCTCCCTCCTCCACCCCCCGACAGCGCACCAGCAGCACGCAGGGCAACGGATCTGCACACCAGAGCGGACCTGCCACTGCTGCGCGGACGAAGAGTCCTCCTTCGTCCTCGCCGTCGCCAAACGAGACAGGCAACAGCCGTCCGCGCGCGGGCAGCGCCTCAAGCCGTCCATCCAACAACACCCTTCCGCATCATCGCACATCTTCCTCTTCGTCGACGGCTTCATCAGCCGGCACGGCCCGGCCATCTGTATCTTCCTCGGCTACTGCCACGTCGTCGTCGTCCTCTCCTCCCCCTTCGTCCTCCCACCCGCACTCGCATCCTCACCCCCAGGCTCGGCCCCCTCGTCCATCGCCACTCTCGCAGGGCTCGACAATCCCACACGCCAGCTCAGCTTCCAACCCACAATCTCAATCTCACTCACACAGACAATCCCACGCTCAATCTCAACCCCAGCCTCATCCTACCGATAAGCGCATGTCCCGCGATGACTCAGACCTTACCACTATGCTCGATAGCATCGCTCTCGGCACTGCTCCTGCCAAAAGTGGCGGTCTTAAAGGTAGACTGAGGCGTGCACTATCCCTTGGCCATGCCCTCGACGAGGAGCAGGAATTGGAGCAGTCTCCTGTGGGAAATAAGCATGGCAAATCTGCCAGCGGCACCCCCGATCCTACTACACCCACAGATAACACGGACGCATCGAGCACCATCGCCAATGGTGGTGATGCTGCAGGGCCACCCCTTAAAAAACGATCCCGCGCAGCCTCTCTGTTCAGTGCGCGTCTCAACGCGTCAACCGATAATATCTCCCTCTCGTCTACCATGTCCTCTGCCTCCGTCGTCATTCGCAAGATTGGCTCCATCGGCAAATTGGCGAGGAGAAATTCCTTGGCGGGCATCACGTCCTTGTTCAAGGATAAAAACAAGGACCAGCTTGGTGATTCTGCCAACAATAATGACAGTGGCGGAAGTACCTCGGGTAAAAAATCCAAATCCAAACGTTCCAAAGACGCCAAAGGTTCCGTCCTCGAACCGACGGTCTCCCATGCTGTCGCGGAGCTCGATCGGACAGCTAGCGGGAGTGAATGGTCGGACGCAAGTCTGAGCGGGTTAAGTCCAGCCGCGAAATTGGCAAGACAACACACGCTCAAGTCGAATGCGGAGGCTGCGGCAAAGGCTCGTGCGCAAGCCGAGGCTCAAGCACAGGCAGCAGCGCAGGCTCAGGCGGCTAAAGGTGCTAATGCTCATACGAATGGTGGGAGTGCAAACGGAAGTAATGCAGGGAGCGTGCCGGTCCCGGCAACTTGGGAGAAGAGTACAGCTACGGGGAGGGATAGCGTGCACCAGGGGCGTAGGATGGTGGGCGAAGACGGTCGAGTCCTTGTCGAGGACGATTCCGATTCAGGGAGCGATGTCGAACATGCGCCTGCCCACCAACCCCAACAACAGAGCTACATCTCCGACGGATGGGAAGACGATGAGGTATGGCGAGAGGATGAGGACGAGGAGGAAGATCTGACTGTTCGCCCTGGTGGCTCCGTTGAAGACGAGGAGGTCGTCGAGTGGGCAAAGACGATACGGAAGACGATCGAAACGATCAAGCCGACAAAGGGCATTTTAAAGGGTGAGTGTCTGCTCAGCTTACCTATGTTGTTCTGACCTTCCCTAATGTGCTACGCCCAGGTGCAGAGAACTACCACCAGGAAGCCTATATCCAGGACCAGGCCTCGAACCCAGCGTTCAACCGTATCCGGTCCAGCTCGTATAGTTCTCATTCAGGGACGCCGGAACTCGGTCCTTTAGCACGTATACCCTCTCCCGATCCAGACCACATCGATGGACTGCACCGACACCCTTCTCATTCATCGCAGCGCGGTGGTGGCAACAGCGGGATTGCTGCTGCTGGAGGTAACTCGTCCTCACCAATTATTTCTTCTGGTTCCTCTTCTGATGCATCCATCCCCTCTTCCTCCGAACCAGACTCTGGAAGATCGTCGCCGCACACCAACGTTGGAAATTCCGCTGCCAATGGCCTCTTCACGCTCTCGAATTCATCTGCGCCTGCACTGTCGACGATCACGGCGACAGCGACTCTCCCCCATCGTACATCCTCGACCCCAACCACAAAACGACTCGTCTTTGCGAACAATTTGTCAGTGTACGATACTTTCTCTTCGACAGTCTACGACCGACGGAGTGAACCTGCGACGTGGAGTCGTCTCACTCCAACTTTGGCACAGAGGATCAAGGAGGAGTTGAATTCGTATAAGATGGAGGAGATGGAGGTGCATGCCTGCAGCCGGGTGTAGTGAGTCGCTTTACTCTTATTTCTTGTGGGGGTGGCAATTTGGTTTTGGAGCGATGTGGTGCAGATGCTGACAAATCATTTTTGTAGCACCCAATTTTTCATCTAGAAGAGTGTTGGAGTCCTACATACCATACCCAGACAAGCATGTCTATCACTACCATTTTCAGTGGCAGCAGCAGCAGCAGCAACGACTCTATTCTCAGTTTTATTTCGTCCGATGTCCATCCGTCATCGATGTCGTCATCGTATTTTCTTTTTTTTTCGAGTCACTCGCTAGCGTTGCAAGTTTATCTCTCCTCGAGCGAAACGCTTCGCCCTGTACCACCACCACCAACCACTAATCGTATCATCGTTATCGCCACTCTTGTCACTGCAACCATGCAACCCCACGTTTCAAATGCAAACAAAGGACTACGTGTTACGTGCCTCCATACCAATGTCGCCTCACCCGCTCTCGCTTTGTACCCCTAAAACTCTCGCTGTAAGGTGCTTCGGTCGTCCGTGCCAACCCCACACGTCGCGTTCGCTCGTTTCGATCTTTCCCTTCCGCCCGCTTGTTTTCATCTTCGACGAATGAAGTAGCTGGAGGAAATTTGTTCTGTTCGGCTCTTGCCAATCTCTCGTGGCCCACCCCCGCCGTTTGTGTCTGCCCCTCTAGAGCGCCCTCTTTCTCCCCCAGATAGAGCCGCCGGCCATATGTCACCTCTTAAATTCCACCTTACGCACGCACATGCACTTACCCCGTTTCACATCCATACCTGCCTTCACCATGCACGTACGCACATCCAATTTTTCCTACTCATTTTCTCTGCATCATGGACGGTTTCCCTCCGAAAAAAAATATTCTCCTCATTTCCCCCTATTCCGTCATCTCTCTTTCCTCACCTTCATAGCTAAAAAAACAAGTTGAAAAGTCCCTTTCTTTTCGTCCTACCTCTTATATTATTCACCTCCTCCCCCTCCCCTCGTTCGTCGTGGTGCTACTGCTGCTGCATCGAACGTTGCTCATCATCTTTTTTTTTGCGCACGTATGTGACTGGTGTCCAGTAGCGTTATACCTTTTTTTTTGAATTATTCCCCTTATTTCTTCTGCCCTTTTCTCTCGGGTGTGTGTGTGCGTGTCAGTGTGGTGCGAATCTCATTCGGAGAGCGTGGTGGTCCAAGCACGACAACGCCCACGAAGCGTGTGCAACTCAGTGCTGCTTCTTCTGGCGAGCATGGTTTGGAGTCTAAGTGACCTTGCATTCACTGACGGCTAACGTCAATGACGATGCCAAAGTACTCGTATGAAATATGCACCGACAGTGTCGTTTCAACTTTTGGATATGGACGATATGCACGCCACTACCGAAGGTTCTTTTTACCCTCATCCATTGCACTATGCACAACTGCTATACCCCTATTTTTGGTGGGATGTTGTGTCCCTTGAATTTATTACCCTGTGCGTATAAGTGTGCATGGTGGTAAGCATGTATACCATTGCATACATATGTTTTCGATGTTCATTATGTCTCATTTCGACGTATTCTTTTATGTAACTATGTACAATTCCTGAATCGCATTGTTGATACGATTCAAGTTCAGTCTCAGTGTACCTGCCTGCCCGTACTGCAGCCTCGCATTTGAATTTCAAATCCCAATACCCCATGCCCATCTCATTATCAAAGTTAATGATAGCATGTCATCAATTCACTCTTGTTCTCGCTGTGGGCCAAGTCCTAAATAATGACATCTTCGATAGGCGTGTACCGGTGTAAGGTGGTGGAGCGTACTTCTGTGAGATTAGGCTCGCATCAAATGAATGGGCCCAAGTCTTGCTGACTGACACCGATGAATCGATGACACTTGCACACCACGCGATCGACGAGTAAAATGAAGTGTGCGGCGGCCGGCAACGCTTCCCACTCCGCATATGCCATGTGAGCCGTACAAACCACAGTCCGTTGCATTCACTTTGAAAATCGGATCAGAGGAACACATGAAGCCCTATACCTACAGGAGCGGGGTACGTACACGTGTAAATGAAACAAGTACGGCGTCAATGGACAGCATCTGTGGTTCATGCGTGGAAGGGGCAAGCCCAGGAAGCCCGTTCCATCGCTATGACCCACATCGCGCGTAGCCAGATCTTATCCCACGCACGTCGTCGAGTAGGCACGAAAGCTATCGACACATACAGAAGTCGCGAAGCGGACAGAAAACAAAGAACAAACAGGAGCAGCCACCAACGAGAAAACAAGGAGGATGACCCTCAGTCGTCCGTGACGGCATATCTCCTCGATCGGTCGATGCCTCCACGGTTACCTGGAACGTTCCTATTCCTGCAATGATTCGCGTAATGGCCTTTTTCGCCGCACTATGATGCTCACGTTAGCGGACAAAGTGAACATGGAGAAGAAAGGAAAAGACGTACCTTGAAACACAAGACCTCGTCCAGATTTCGTCGGGGTCCCGATGCTGCTGTGGCCCCCCCAGATCCCGTGCCCGCGCTCCCACTTCCACCACCGTTCGAGCGATCGTAGTCAGCATATCGGCCGTACCCTGGTGGGGGTGGACCCAGGTCTCGGTTTGCAGGAGGCAGAGGGGTATCGTACGCGCTTGGATGTGGGAGGGAGGGTTTAGGACTACAAGTGGCAAAATATAAGATTGAAAAATAATAGTCAGAAATGAGATACATACTGTCCTCGTGGGCATTCTGGACCTAGCGGACAGAATCCGGTAAGGTAGAGCTGGCACGCGACGCGACGGACGTGTTTCCGTGGACATGTCGGCCCTAATTTACAAAACCCGCGTTTATAATCCGGACACTCTATCCTCCTTTCTCTTGGATGTGCATACAAGCACTCGTCGCCTGCAGAACAATACCCGTATTTAGCGTACCACCAGCACTCTGGCATTCGTCTGAGGTTGTACTCGTGCAAGAACTCGCATGCATCGCCTTTTTTGCAGAGACCGCGCAGCCAGTGTTTACAAACTGTTGCGAGACGTTCTCTGTCCCGTGGGTGTGCCGGGAGTTGTTTAGGGGGTTGGAAATTCTGCGAGGACGGGATTGTATGTCGGAGTGGACAGTGAAGTGGACCCAGTGGACACCCTGTAGAGCTCAGAGATAACCGACAGATCTGGTCGTCTGTCCAACGCGTCAGACAGGTCAAAAAGGTAGTAAAGGAATGAAACTTGCCCTTGTCTAGTTTGATTCCAAGATCATTTTTGACAAAGAGCTCTTCTTGAAAGTTGTTTTGGTGGAACTGCGGTTGGACGAGATCCTTGAGCGGAGACGGGCCCGCCAACGGCGTGGACATCGGGAGAGAGCGTATGGCTGACGTAAGTGGTGTCTCCGGCCATTTATTAGTCAGACGGTCCGGGCCGCGTAGCTTGCTTAGTAAGCATACCAATCTAAGTACGTTTATGAAAATACAAGCAAGTAGTTACGACTTGTATACGTTGGCCCTGCTCCTCCTTCCTTGTCGCCGACATACCTGAACTTGCCTGAGCCGAGTCTCTGAAATGAGAAAACGAGCTGGAAGCCACTCTGCAACGCTCTGTCCAGCTCCAAACCCATTCATATCATCGCACACGTTCTTGTCATCCTCCATCCCGAGCACCATCAACGCCACTGCCTTGGCGCACAACCATGCGTGCACCATTCCTTCACCTGAATATCCCGCAGAAACCCATTCCCCAGGACTCGCCATTTCCTTGTCCGTCTTCGACGGCCTCTCCCTTCCCGTCACACTCTCCGGGATTCGACCCACCCATGGAAATCCGTCCGCTGATTCACTCAGCTCGCCGCTCCACAATGCTTTTACCCTCCCAGCTGCCCAGATACCACCATCCACGGCAGTCGCACCTTCTGCACCCCAATTTACAGCGCCAAAGTAGACGGACAACGCTCCAGACACGTGTGCTGCACTGTGCAGATCATACATACCGGGCATCCGTGTGCATCCAACACTTTCTCCCTCGAGACCACCTCCAAACATCAACTCATGTTCGCCACTCCGAAGCTGCGTCAGGTAATCGAATCCTTTGTACACCGGGTCGTCATAAAACACATATGAACGTGCCCCACCACCCATCTTAGTACGTAACTTGCGTCCGGGTCTCTGCGCACTCATCGTCTCTCGTACCTGTGTCACCACGGGTGCAAGACCAGGGACGAGCGCACCCACGTGGGCATTCGTGAGATGAACGATGTGTTTTGTTTTCAGCGTCCCGCGCGGTGTGTGTAAAGTGTAGGCGGATTCGTTCTCCGATGGACCCGTGATAGATGTGCAAGGCGTCTTCGTGTACAAACGGAACCTATTTGTCCCCCCCGTGGTGAGCGACGTAAAATGGATAAGGCCCTACTCACTGGTTGGCATGGTCCTCGAGCAACCGAGCGAGGACGCCCGCAACGAACCGGTACGGATGAACCGCTCCCGCACGCGTCGTAATACACCCTAAAGCGTACTCTGAAAGCTGATATCTCTGTAATGCGCTCGTGTTCATCTCCCCACTTGCTTATCCTCACATTCTCACGTTCACTCACCTTCCTAGCCGCTTCACCCCCCAAGCACTCATACGGCTCCGCCTCAACTGGCATATCCCTCTTATACACCTTCAACAACCTCTTCGCCTCCTCGAACGTCTCTTCGTCGTAGTACACGTCTACAGCTTCGACCTCTCGACAATCCGCATCTGCTGCGTCGGTCTGACCTATGTGTCGCTGGATCTCGAGGTGAGCTAATCGGAACCGGATGATGTGTTGTGCGGCACGGAGACCGAGGGTGTTCTTGAGGTCCTCATAGTCGTGGTATAAAGGTGGGTTGATATGACCTCCGTTCCTGTGTAGTGTGTTAGCAACGCGCGATACCAAGGGCAATGGAGGGAACTAGCCTTCCGGTTGCCCCTGAACACGCGTCGTGCGCTTCAAGCATCACAACGCTCAGTCGTTCGTGCTCATACCCGCCCTTATTGATCCGCTTCCGATCCGCGTTTAGCAACGCCCTGACAAAAGAAGCGCCGGATATACCCGACCCTATGACGACTGTCCGACCACCGTACCACCGACATAGCGTACCATGACACCCATTCCCAACCACCGTCATACCATGGACAAGTGTTCAGTCAGTAACCACTCACCCACGAGACACAGGAGTACACACCGACATCCGCATACTCTGGCACCGCCGCACACTGGCTTTCATCTGGGTCCTGCACGAGACGAGCTAAAATAGCCGAAGGGGGGAATGCCCAAAACGAGCGTGTTGGTTCAGCGATTGGAAGCCCAGGGGTGGGTAAGGGCGGAGAAGGACATTGCGACGATATTGTGCTCGTTCGCCCTATCGCTTCTGGCCTTGCCCTTTTTCTCTCCTGGCCTCTCGCTTCTCGACCCTGGACTCGTTCAAGTGGGTTCGTCAGTTTCTCGGCGTCACCCTCGCCACATTTGCTAGCGCCCAGAGAAGACTCGGTTGAGTACTGGAAGCGTGTTCCGGTATGTGCACGGGAGAAAGCGATGCCCATTGTTTCCTATTATCTTGAGGACTGTATCGGTGACAAGGCTCTTTGCTCTCCGTGGGGGTATAATATTTATCGGATATTGACGATGACGGGTAGGCAATGCAGTGAGGAAGAGCGGAAACATCTTTGACTAGCCTACTTTTATCCAGGGCCGGCCACGGGCATCACACAGTTCGTATCGCCTCATATCAAGCCAACAGTACTATATTCAGACCTGAGTGCTCGGCACCAAGATATGAGAAGATAAGTTAACTCGCTCTTGGTTCGCCCCCGTAACAGGGGCGTACTAACACGGGCGGATCAAGATGCGCTTCCTGACTTATTGGGTTGGCTCTTGACTGGTCGGAGAATACTACGACGTGTGTGGGTACGGAAGGTGGTACAAGAGGTGATTGCTATTCGGCACAGTATCCATCCGGTCCAGGTCGAACTTCAATGGTAGAGTGACAGGTAATGCACTACGTAGCCGACAGTCGAACTCGGTGGGGCATACATATTCGATTCCGACCAGTAGTGTGAGGTTATGTAAGTAGTACCAAGTACATGGCAGCTCCAAATATTTTTGTACAACTCTCTGCTTATCTTATCGCATGGTGGCGTCCGTGGCGACCGGTATGTATAGACAACAAGGGAGCGTCGTTGCGCGGGGATTCATATTGGTAACGAAGAGACTAACTGCCTACACCGAACATGTCTCGTGAAATACGGCGATAAGCTTCTTCTGGAATCGTGCGAGATACGATACAAGTTCTGGCTCTGGCAATGCGGAGTATTCAAGCGCCTGGCTGAGCTGCGTTCGGAGCTTGTATGACCCAAGGCGGACATATCCGGTATAATTAATCGAGGGTATTCAGGATATCGAGTACGGAAAAGGACCAAGCACCACAGGTTAGGATATCAGGACGTCTGCCTGCGTCACTCCAGCACAGTGAGGTATGCATGCCTTACCTTGACGACGGCTCGACGGTGAGTAGCCTGGACAGCCGTCTGACTGCTTGCTTCCTGCCGAACGTGCAAGTCGGTCAATATTTCGGCGACTCTCTTGGCTTCTTGTACTACATCGCGCGGTAAATCGGCCAACGTGGCAAGGTCAACACCTACATATGTATATGTGTTATTCCCAGTCGCACATCTGGTATCCCGGCCTTATCGGTGCAGGGTAGGCACTGACCATAATGTCCATGATTGTCAGGCAGGCCGTCGACGATGCTAGTGGAGGAGGGGGGTCAACACCCTTTACGCTAGCCACGCCCGTCAAGTGGCAACGTATTGTGCTCACCGGTATCGAAACACCATCCCAAAACCGGACGTCTTCTGCGTAGGCTGTGTGGACATAAATATAAACATATGATACGGCATCGCCGCTAATGGCTGGTATGCATGACGGATATACCTGAACGGACAGATGTAAACTACGGCAGTCTCAGCGTGACTCAGACTGCGTTTGTGGGAATGAAGTGGACTTACTTCACCACGGAGGGTTGGCAAGATAGTGCCGTCGATAGTTGTTGGAAATGGCTGCACTCGGCGTCAACGGATAGCGCAGGCACCTCAAAATAACGACAGTACGTAGCGAAAAAAACGAAGCACTACGGAGAGCAGCATGTGATCCTGCGCAACGTCGAGGTTTGTAGGAGGCTTACTTTAATTCGGATGAGCTCCTCCGCGATGGCATGGGCTATTCCAACGCCTTCTACCGTAGAGGTACCTCGACCCAACTCGTCGACAAGGACCAGCGTTTTCGGTGTTGCGAGGCCTATCGTCAATCCAAATATGATGTGCAAACTAACTGCAGCATGCTTACCTAGGATCATGGCTGAAGTCGCCATCTCGCTTGCGAAGGTGCTCAAACTTTTTTCTATGTCATCATCGTTTGAGAGGCGAGTCAGAAGGGCGTCGTGGATGCTGTAAGTCTTATTTAGGCTCAGTAAGCAGTAAGTTTCAAGGTGTTGGTCACCGAAAGCTGGCATATTCCGCAGGTACGAAACACCCAGCCATCGCCATAATCACTAGTAACCCACTCTGCCGAAGGTACGTACTCTTTCCTAGAAGACATTGACACGGTTGATGTCGACGGACTCACAAGCACTTACCCGACATACTAGCAGGTCTCCGTTCCAAGTCACAAAGGGAGCGCAAGTTTGCCACTTACTTTGGACCCTGAACAATCTGAAAATGAGATGAATCGCAACAGTAAATATCGTTCGACACTAGTGTTCCTGCTGCTTGGACGGTCTCGAGGATTGGGTGCCTTCCGGCCTTCACGGCAAATGTCCCAGTGAATTCCGGACGCACTGCCATGATCGCCTGTTAGCAACCCACATCAAGACAACCGAAGAACTAACCGTAGTTTCTCACTGATCACAGTCACAAACGAAACCCATGATAGAGAGGCGACTTACTGATAGTTGCGTGCGCGAAGGACCAAAGGAGGTCAACAATGGCAACCTATTGTTCATCAGGTAGATATAATTCGCTTCTTGGAACGATACATACTGCTTCAGATGCAGTATAAAGAGCGCCAGAATACGCCAGTATCTGCTCGACAAGGTCCTGGATTATCCTGCCCTCACTGTCAGGATGCGAGTACTAAGATGACTTTCATGCTTACTTGTTGCTGAGAAGGAGAGTTTCGTCCAACGCATCTTTCATCCTTGCGTTCATCTTCTTCTGGAAAGACCAAGTCAGATCATGCACGGGGTGCCATCGCAGGGCGTCCGCGCATACCAGCTCCATACTAGAAAAGAGCCAGCGCCCTTTTTGCGAAGTAATGTTGATAAAACCCTTTGGAAGCTCGCCTTCCAACTCGTCCTTCTTCAAGGTGAATACGAATCCATTTTCCTGGTATACGAGCGTCAAGGGCAAACCGTGCTTCTCAGACAGAACCGCATTGAGCTGCATGATGTCGCCCACGTTCTCCTTAAATGTCTCCCGAGCAACATCAAGAAGCCGGTGGCGGTTGGCCTAACTGATTCAGCTTACTAGCTGAGAAGACCTGTGAACGTACCCTGACTGCATAGACTCTTGCATTGACCGCAGCAAGTCCACCCTGCGGTACTCAGCTAACAGATTATAGGCAGCCAGAGAGGTTACCTTCACAGGCCCAGCTTCCTCGTTCAGATTATCCGCAATAAGGTCTGCGATGAACGCCAAGCGCTTGTCGGAGATCATCTTGTAGCTGTGTGTCAACAACGCATCGTTCCCAAGCAACGCAAGCGTACGTCATAAACTATCTGCAATAACTGGGATCTGCCCCCGGCCAAAGCGTTCTGCAGGAACGGCAGGTTTCGTACTATGCTTTGAAGACTAAGCATCTGAGAAACACGAGAAAACGCAGATTTTGTCGCGTGCGATACGCGGACTTCCGATGAGGCGAGCTGGATCAGATGATGATTATACAGTACCGAAGAAATATGGCAGGCTTGCCGAGGATATCAACTTGTCAAAATCAAGTTTGTTTAACCGCTTCAAAGCATCGCGGACTTCTGCGAATTTATCTTCGCGTTGAACGAGTTCTGGGAAATGCTTGAAGGAGTAAGAACAGATGTATCGATGTCCTTACCTTCCACTACATCCAGGCGTGCATTGATGGCTTCTTCCCCTGGAAGACAAGAGCATTAGCCCATGGCCCAAGCTTGGGGCAAGATGTACCGGTCATTGGAGCCAGAAGATTGGCACGCAGTAAGCGGGCAGCCATTGCCGTGTAAGTATGGTTCAGAATCCCTATATCATCGACTTGTCAGCAGCTAGTAATGCCCTGCATCTGCATCGAGTAGGATACCCAAAGAGGGAGTGCGTCGATTTCTTGTGAGCGATATTGCTAACCAGCTCAAGGTTCCGCGCCGTCTCTGGGTCGATCATTAGCGTTCCTTGACCAGACACGTACCTGATACGCAAAGACCCCGTAGCAAAGCGTGTATTCAACCGATACTCCGCGTGCTTGAATATTGCACTGGCAGATGAAAGCGCGTAATACCTGCAAGACACGGTTAGGCTGGTCCCTATGGCGCATATACTCACTTATCCGCTACAGAGACAAGTGTTGCTGCCCGCTCATCATCCTCCACGCATAACTGTGTAATGAAATCCATTCCTGGAGACACTCAGCCGAGATCCAAGGGAAGACAAACATCAATCCAAAGCACCTGTACTATCATTCCAATATTTTCTCGCGACAGGTTCGATAGGTACATTCTGAAACTCTTCCATAATGAACCGCACCAGAAGCGAGGTAGTCGAGGGACGCCTCCCCGAGGATAGCGAAGCTCGCGTCTGCGGCAGACACGAAGGTTTCCGGAACAAGCACCAAGACCGGAAAATGAATGTGCATTTGGTGAAGTGTCTTCACGTATGTCGGACAGTCAGCGAGCTTTTGGGATAAGTTGAGCGAGAAAGAGTGGCATGATGCTTCCGGCCCACACCTGCACAAGGACAACACGCCCCGTGTCTTTATCCATGGCCGCCATGCCAACTTCGTGTGCTATCCCACGGCTCTCAAATATCGCCACCACGTAACTTGCTTCGTGTCTAGTCGAAGCAGCTGTTCGGGGCCGACCCGTGCTCGCACGTGTTCCGGGACGCGATTGAGAGGTCGCAGGTCGAAACGAACCAGTAGAACGATCCTGAGCTGTGAACGGACGCGTTGTCGAGGAGGGAACTGAAGACGTGGACACCATAACGTCGTGTCCGACAAATAGATCCTTTCCGGTCTGATGTGATGATAGGCTTGAACGGTGATTTCAAGAGAGAACTTGTGAATCGTGATCGGTGGCGTCTGGATCACGAGATCCCATCTACCAGGTGAAATTTCGAAAGGCGAACTCTGTACCGTAACGAGCAAAGGTCCCGTGCAACGCAGGGGCCGATGAACGTTCAACGTTCAACGTTAAATGTTGCCTCGAGTCAACTTTATCGTACCAGAACCTTGTCAAAGGATGATGACTTGGTTCGCTGAGGTTGCCGGTCTGGTGAGTCTTGTCGGGTGCCACCAGACTGATAGATAGTACTGAGTGATCCTTAGCGTTGACTGGTGAGGGATGGGTCCAACACACAGCTTCAGCGACACTCTGATGTGCACCACAGTGGCCCTAGAATGTACGACCTGTGCATCGGCATTTATCACGGGAATGATTCCACTCTAATAATTGTTCCGGCATGGGTATCTAAGGAGCTCGAAAGAAGATCTGGTGTTCTGCTGAAGCCCTTCAAAGTTGCGCGACGAACCAACACAATCTGACACTCGACTTCTGCTGTGTCTGGTCGGCTACGAAGTGCTAATATATTGTGAGTCATTTGTCTTCGCGTAGTGATGCCTAGATCGTGACATTGCATGATTTCGTATCATTCAGCGTGGGGACGCATTGGCTCCCACTTGCTCCAATTCTCTGAAATACAGGCTCCGCGAGTCCGCAAGTTGCAGGGGTCAGCCCAATGCATTCCAAATTCCTGGCATGAACATATTAGCCCGTATGTTTATTCCCACGGAGAAAATACAGCCTCCTTGGAGGTCCTGATAGCTGGCCTGTCGTGATTGGCTCTACACGCCGCATCTAAACACCAATTTTATATAGCTCTGGCCTCTGGATTTTCCCTCGTCCCTACTCGCACACTGCAGAAGATGCAGTCCACGACCGCCGCGGATTTCCTCAGATTGGTACAAATTGCTCGTTTAACTCGAATGTGTCAACGTGAGTGGCTTGCGTTGTGTCTGCGAAGATATATTTTTACTGAACGTATTTGCCAGTAGTCCCCTCGGTCGTTATGGTATATGACTATTGTAAGCACAAGCTTTTGAGACTGTCCGCGTTACTCACGGAACATGCAGTGATTAGCGTTGATCAAGAGGTACCGGTTCTCCAGTTACATAAAGTTGTTTGCAATTGCAATGGTGACTCTTGATTTTCAATGCTTTCGAAGGTTGAACAGATATGGGTAAGCTCTCCACAAAACTAACCTTGCTGCAAGGATAACCGAATCCTCGTGGCCTATCGTAGAAACGACCCAGGACGACGACCACAATTCTCTATCTCATCGTAAGCGTTCGCTATGTTCAAGGGGGCGTATGTCCTTCTCAGCATGCCGCACAACAGCTGCGATACTTTGGTACTCTGTGTGGTGTGTAAGTTTTTACTCGAGTCCTCATATCATTGTCATGGGTTTTCGAACTGCAATATAGGTTCAACGCTACGGGTCGGTCGAGTCCACTCGGATTCTCGAGACAATTTCAGCTCACCTACTGCTTAGTCTTCTTGTCCGATGTTTCTGAAGAGGTGAGGATCACTTGCGACGTGATGGGCCTTTCTGACTTATCGCGATAGTTGTATGTGATATTCAGGGGCTTAAATCCCTCCTACTGATACCTTATTGTACTCACGCACATCACAGCTGTGAGCTCCACTACTCTTCTGTTAGTGTAATATTTGTCTGATAACTCTGTAGGTAATACTTTCATGATTATGCAAGGTTGGCCCGCCTGTTTTCTAGTATGGCTGGTACAAAGTAAGATTTTTGTATTCACGTCCATGACTATTAATCCACTCATGTCACTCGCCAAGTAATTCTGCAAATGCGTCTCTCCGCATTATACAATCGCTCGCGGAAGGTGTTGTTACTCATGGGGTCTGCGTTCCTAGTTGAAATCCTGGCCATGATCGCAATTCTCATCACTGCGAATCTCACATCTGGAAGTTAGTGTCTAGTCTTTTATCTGTGGCACTGACTTTGAGGCCCCCAATAAGCCAGCAACGAACCCATACCCGGCGTGAAGATCTGTACCAACGAAGACACGTCGAACAGTTTTTATGTCTTTTGGTTACCTATACTATGCTTCGAGTTCCTATTGTGTTCACTCGCTGTTCGGGCAGGCATTCAGAGATCGAGGGATGAGATTAGTTTTATGGCCCTCTCCAACAGAGTGTTTCTTTTTGATGTTCTGATCAAGGGCAACGTGGGGTATTTCCTAGTGTGAGTGACCATACCCCATATACAATGGCGCTCATTAGCTTTCACAGCATTTTCTTGGTGGGTGTTATGAATGCGGTTATGTGGGGCGTATTATCTGTACGTGGTTTCTTCCAGCTCTTGGATCAAACTCACTACGCAACGGGTTCTAGCCAGAGTGGGTTGAGATACCTGAAGGTTTCCCACACGCCGTAGCTGTTATCGCTGGCTGTCGGTTGATTTTACACATACGGCACGCAGCAACTCCCACTTCGGAGGACACACTCCAGGGGTCGCTCGCCTTTGAGTACCCCTTGCAGCAAAGATCTGCTATCAGCGCGCGTATTGCGTAGTACAGGACCCCTGACGGAAGAGAACCCACTATCGGGATACTTCTGTCGATACCCTAGCAAAGTACATAGTATATATCGACCAATTTACGAACGATACCCCGGGACAAAAAAGCATCACTTGGATGTTTAGGCACAACTACCCAAGGACACTGCTCTCTGACAACATTTATAAGGTGTCATGCTTTGGTGCCTATGGGAACGAGTCGATCAAGCGAATACTGCAAGTTCTGAGTATTAAGTAACGCATGTCTACCAACAATTGTACATGGTGGATTTCAAACAGGTCATCAATGGCCCTCGCCATGAATCCAGAGGTGCCCGATAGCCAAAACCAGCACGTCGAGAAGCGTATGAGTCACATTAATGCAAGTGTACAAGCTTCACCTCGTATCTACATACATACACTATCTCCATCATAGCACGCAGACCCCACTCCGCCCCAAATAACAAGTTCATAGATCAATCAGCAACTCCTCCCGTCGATCTTGTCCGGGAAGGCCCGCAGGCACAGAAGGCCCATACATATTAAAAGTCTGGGGATTACTCGTCGGTGCTACCGGGAATTGTGGTAGAGTAGGTGATTGCATCTGTTGTGGTGATTGCACTTGAGGCGGTGGCTGAGAACGCAAGACCGTTTGAGGTTGAGGTTGGGGCTGTAATTGATGTCGTGCAGGCTGAGCATGCGACTGCGTACGCGTGTGCGCAACCGAAGGAAATCGCGACATACTCCCACCCACCGGAGACACTGCACGCGGTGCAGAGACGGTGTTACGTCTAGCAAGTGCGGGTGATGATGGTGACGGTGGTGGCTGTGGGACCTGCGAGGATAGCTGCGAGGACTGCGGCTGTGACAAAGGTTCAGTTTTGGAAGTAGGCAGCGCGGCAGCAGGCGCCGTAGTGGGAGGTGGCGGCGGAGGGGCATACGTTTGGGAGGGCGGTACGAATTGTGGTATTGAGACGGAAGGAGGCTGGGTAGCAGGTGGACTTTGCATCGGCGAAGGCTGTACGAATGGTGAAGAAACAGGAGGATGAAAACCGTGCGATGAACCCGAAGGTCCAGCTTGTATTGGTGAACCGTGCTGCTGTAACGGAAGACCCGGTGACGAAATGGTGGCGAATGGGGTGTGGAAAGGTTGGGGTGCCTGAGTAACAGCAGACGTTTGTGGTCCTTGTGGCGTATATGTCATCACAGGTACAGGGGTCGGCGTCCATTGTGTATCTGGGGGTCCATCTCGCGGCAGCGTCTGCGCCTGCGGGATCGTAGCCCGCCGCCAGGGCTGAGAAATTTGCTCGGTGAGAAGTTTGTCATAGAGTTTAACAGCTTGCGAGAGCTTATCGTGCATCTCAGAAAGGAGTTCTGGAAATTCCAAGTCAGTTTGGGCCCAAGTAAGGGGCCCGTGTGAAGGGACTCACGTTCTTTCCTCCCAGTGTCGTCGAGGCTTATTGCTAACTTGGGTCTTAGCGCGTTCGCTTTGTCATATAATTCATTCACGGCAGGATATCGTGACATATCCTTATCACCCTGCACTTGAACCTGCTCGACGGTCTGACTGAACGTGAGGACGGCGTCTGCTTCCAAAGGCTCGAGATCATAGTTGGGTAATTTTGGTACAGACGGAGTGGGTGTAGCAGTGGGTGGATTGGACTGGGATAGTCTTGCGTTCGTGTATGATGAGGGCGAGTCTTCGGCTGCTTGGACTTCCACAGGAGCACTTGGTTTCGGCATGTTTTCTTCGCGAAGACTGGCCTCTATGGCAGCACGCAAATCCGGGTCGTCTACGTCATCTATAGGAGCTGGCCGATTTGGGCGGGTGCTATGGTCAACCGTAGGTGGCTCGGATGATCCTTTCCAAGGGGGCTGGTAAGGTACATAACCCGGACGCTGGTGTCGATTGACGCCAACTTCTTCCAGTGACAGTTGAATAGCTCGCTGGAGTTCAGCATCGGCGAGGTCACGAGCGCTACGAGGACTGTGAACGCTGGCAGAGTGCCGGTGACTGTGGGTCATGGCGTCCAACGTCCGTAAGTTTAACAGCAAGATACTTACATTCTTTCAGATTTCTTGGTGAGTTTTGCATGGCATCCGTCGCATACTCTGACGGCTTGTGTTATACCGAAATGTGGAAGAGGAAGCGTCTTGGCGGAACACTGTTGGTCAAACACTTGGCCACAATTTCGACAGTGATGTTTCCGGTTTGTAAAGGTGAAGTAGGCCCGACATCGTAAGCAACGGTCAGAATCGATCCACTCTGGCGCAGTGGTCGTGTCTACCATAGCAGAGTTTGCAAGGGCGAGGTCTTTGGGAGGAAATTGAAAACCTGATAACGCGGTCATGTCATGAGTCAATTCAGCGTTCGCTACGAACGCACCCTCGCTCTTAAGTGCCTTATATACCTGGCCCATATAGCTAAGCGAAGGTTTTCCCTCAAACGCAAGTGCCCAATTCTGAATATATTTGAGGATACCGGCTTTGACGAGGTAGTTGACGGCGGGAACCTTGAGGATGGATACGAGATTATCAACGAATTCTCTGGATGCAATCTCAACAAGAAAATGGTCGCCGCCGTTCTTGACGCAGGTATCTGTCAACTGCGGAGGAGTGTTACCTTGTAATCACCGGGGGCCGACGTGAAGCGCTTACGCTAAGAGCAAGCAACTGGACATTGGGGTTCTTGTGGTCGAGTCGGCGCTTCAACGAGCGCATGGCGTCCTTTGCTGGCGCAGACTTTGAACGAATCTGATCGCATATTTCAAGGTTCAGGGCCACGTCCTCAGACCCAGAGGGAATAAGTTCCGAGGTCGCCTTCTCTGAGGGGACGACATGCCTGTCAGCTACCGACTGCCCGTACACAATGATTGGCTCACCGATGGCATCGTCGAGTTGCGACGTTCCCCATAGCCAGCTGGTCAGTGAAGCCATGAATGATACTCGTCAGACTCGAGAACGGTGCTGACCAAATGCCGTGATGACAAAGCTCCACGTTTTCACTCTCCGACTGGAATCACCCTCGCAAGGAGTGCAACACCTGCCCTGGTGGCCGAACTGGCTCTAAATCACTCCTACTAGTCTTTTGTTTTCCGGTAGGCGCAAGTGATTCTGAACATGCTTTGCAGCTGACTCTGCCATTGGCTTAACAAGGCCGACTGTCATATTTGTGACGGGGTGTGTGACAGCTGTGACTTGGGTTCAATTGAAGCGGAGTTGGAAGGCGAGACCCACCACGGGTTGTTTTCCTACAACCATCGTCGCTGCTGCCAGACTCGACGTCGAAGCTCAGGACAACACTAAGGCGACTGTTTCGAGGCCCTTATAGCCAACCGGAGCCGTTGCAACCGCATCGTCTCGCTTTTTCACTCGTCTTTCGGTCTTTTTTTCGTCTTTTCGGTAGCCCAAACATCGGCTCACATCCCAATCCGCGTACTTCACTGCTCGCGTCTCTATTCTCGAAGAAATGCTAGGTCACCAGTTCGCGTACTCCGCTGCTCCTGTCCGGAAAGTAAAGGAGGTCCAATTTGGCATCCTCTCACCCGAGGAAATTGTCGGTGGCATCGTCGCTCCCTTCTCAAATTCTCGCTTACAAATTCACCCTTCACCTTGCAGAAAGCCTACTCTGTGGCCAAAATTGAACATCCAGAGGTTATGGACGAGGCATCCCACAAGCCCAAATTGGGCGGTTTGATGGATCCTCGCATGGGCACAATTGATAGAAACTTCAAGTGCCAAACTTGTGGGGAAGGCATGTCGGAGTGTCCCGGCCATTTTGGTCACATAGAATTGGCAAGGCCTGTATTCCATCCTGGTGCGTTGACATGTGACCTGTCCTACCATCCTTCCATGCGCTTATCTCTCCAAAGGCTTCATCGTGAAAGTGAAAAAAGTCCTGGAGTGTATTTGTGTAAACTGTGGAAAACTAAAGGCTGATATCGTGAGTCACATCTAACTCTACTCGTTTTGCACCCCACCTCCCAATTTTCTGGGGGCTCTCTCCATAATCCATTGGAGAACCCCAAGCCCGCACCGCGGCAGTCCCTCGTACATCGAGGCGTTTGACCTGCTGTGGCGTGGCAAGCGCGCGTTTTCGGTCGCTTGATCGCCGCGTAAGCCATCCCAAGCGCCCAGTTTTGGTTGGACACGAGGTGCGCGGTGAAATGGGGCGCTGAACGAGGAGTGCGAAAGCGCGATCCAGCGTGTGCTGACGGCACAAGCGCTGGTCACGGCTTTACGGCCTTCCCTGTGACGCAGGGAAATAGCCTATATGGCAGCATTCGTCAATGTCGTGCTTGTCCCCTTGCCTCCTTGTGATGCACTTTTCTCGAAATGGATGTCTTATAGTAGCTGGTCGTCGCAACACACATGCTGATGTTTTTAATTTCACATTTGCCGTTTTGCTACTCTTCTCTCCTCCGCTTCAATACCATATTCGTTCGCGCAGTCCGACCCCAATTTCGCCGACAAGATACGGCATGTCCGGGATCGCAAAGCTCGGATGGCCATCGTCTGGAACCACTGCAAAACAAAGATGATTTGTGAAAGTGACGAACCGCGGGAGGATGGTGTTGAGGCGGATCCTGATGAGCCTAAGAAGGGCCATGGTGGCTGTGGTCACCAACAGCCACAGATCAGGAAGGAAGGCTTGAAGCTTTTCGTCCAATATAAACGCCCGAAGGATGATGACGAGGTTTGTAGCGAGCGGTGCTCGCACCATCAGCCATATTAACGCTTTGCAGGACATCAAGTCGTTGCAGCCTGACAAACGCCTGTTCACGCCGTCGGAGGTGTACACGACGTTCAAGAAAATGTCGGATTCTGATCTCCACTTACTTGGTCTCTCCGATGAGTATGCACGGCCGGAGTGGATGATCATCACTGTATTACCGGTCCCACCTCCACCTGTCCGCCCGAGTATAGCTGTCGACGGCGGTGCTATGAGGAGTGAAGACGATCTGACGTACAAGTTGGGTGACATCATTAAGGCCTCTGCCAGCGTTCGGCGGTGTGAGCAGGAAGGTGCACCTGCTCACGTCATAACGGAGTTTGAACAGCTGTTGCAGGTAAGTACCGCACTGTATTCTTTCCCTACCTACTCATCCCTCTTGGTAGTTCCACGTTGCGACCTACATGGATAATGATATTGCTGGTATCCCTCAAGCACTGCAGAAGTCAGGCCGACCTGTGAAAGCCATCCGGGCACGACTAAAGGGCAAGGAAGGACGCTTACGTGGTAACTTGATGGGTAAACGTGTAGACTTCTCCGCACGCACGGTCATCACAGGTGACCCAAACTTGGAACTGGACGAAGTGGGCGTTCCCATAAGTATAGCTATGAATCTTACGTTCCCCGAACGAGGCGCGTATCAACAGGTGGTGGTGGGTTTTGTTGCTAACATCTTTCTGTGTAGTGACACCGTACAACATTGCTTACCTGCAAGAACTCGTTCGGAATGGGCCCTCGACTTATCCGGGCGCAAGATACGTCGTTAGAGATACTGGAGAACGTATCGACTTGCGATACAACAAGCGTGCCGATGCGTTTCTCCAATACGGTTGGATAGTAGAACGACATCTGAAGGACGGAGAGTCAGTCATATCCTCAACTTTCTATGTTCGAAACACTGATGATGCATTCACAGTTTCGTTCTTTTCAATCGCCAGCCGAGTTTGCATAAAATGAGCATGATGAGTCACCGGGTGAAGCTGATGCCCTATTCGAGTAAGTCCTTAGCTTGCTTAGAGTCCCTTACGCTGATAAGCTTTCCAGCCTTCCGCCTGAACCTCTCTGTGACGCCCCCTTATAATGCCGATTTTGATGGTGACGAGATGAACATGCAGTAAGTCCAAGATTGTTGCTTACCAGTTGCATGTTCATAATCATTGTTTAGTATACCACAGTCAGAGGAGACTCGCGCAGAACTATCACAGATTGCGTGGGTACCCCTGCAGGTCCGTGCCCTCCTTCTGTGCTCTATTCTTCGTCGCTGATGCCGTTTGGATTAGATCATTTCGCCACAAGCTAACAAACCTGTTATGGGTATCGTGCAAGATACGCTATGTGGTATCCGCAAGTTCACGCTACGGGACACGTTCCTTGACTGGAACCAAGTTCAAAACATTCTCCTCTGGGTCCCTGATTGGGATGGTCATGTCCCGCCGCCAGCCATTATCAAGCCCAAACCTCTTTGGACGGGTAAACAAATTCTGAGCATGGTCATTCCACGCGGCATCAATATTCATCGTGCACCGGACCAGAAAACATCGAATCCAGTCTTCGACGATGGCATGCTGGTCGAAAACGGTGAAATTCTATATGGCATCGTTGACAAAAAGACGGTTGGCGCGACTCAGGGCGGTCTCATACATGTCGTCTTCCGCGAGAAAGGTCCCGAGGCCACGCGTCAGGTCTTCACTGGCATTCAGATGGTCGTCAACTACTGGCTCTTCCATAACGGTTTCAGTATCGGTATCGGTGATACTATTGCTGGACCGAAAGTGATGAGCTTTATCACCGAAAAAATTGCGGAGAAGAAGCAAAGGGTGCAGGAGATCATTGATGACGCGTATCATGACCGCTTGAAGGCCATGCCCGGTATGACTATCCGAGAATCCTTTGAAAGTATGGTCGAGCGTGAACTTAACCTTGCCCGTGACCATTCTGGCCGATACGCGCAGGAGCATTTGAAGGAGGACAACAATGTCAAGCAGATGGTCACTGCAGGGTCCAAAGGTTCTTATATCAACGTCTCGCAGATGTCCGTCTGTGTCGGGCAGCAGAGTGTAGAAGGAAAGCGTATACCATTCGGCTTTCGCCATCGGACGCTACCCCACTTTAACAAGGATGACTTCAGTCCAGAGGCGAGGGGATTCGTGGAGAACTCGTACCTGCGCGGTCTGACCCCGCAGGAATTCTTTTTCCATGCGATGGCTGGTCGAGAAGGTCTTATCGATACCGCCGTCAAAACGGCGGAGACAGGTTATATCCAACGACGTCTCGTCAAGGCCCTGGAGGACGTTATGGTCTGCTATGACGGTACGGTGCGCAATTCGCTGGGCGACCTCATCCAGTTTATATACGGAGAAGATGGGATGGATGGTGCATTCATCGAGCGCCAGAGGATCGATACGTTCGGACTCAGTGACCGGGAATTCGAACATAAATACCGTGTTGACGTAACCGACAAGGAGGGCGGCTTCCTTCCCGGAGTTCTGCAGATCGGTATCGACGACAGCTCCTTGGAGTTGCAAGGGAAGCTTGACGAAGAATATGCTCGCCTCATACAGGATCGTCGCGAATTGCGGTCATTCATTTTCCCTCGCGCAGACAGCCTAACTCCCCATTACATGCCTGTTAATTTGCAGCGTATCATTCAAAATGCCGTTCAGATCTTTCACATCGACCGCCGCAAGCCCAGCGACCTCGAGCCAGCCTACATCGTCGACGCAGTTCACCAACTCACGGAGAGGCTCTTGGCTGTGCTGGGTGACGATGAACTTAGTAGGGAAGCGCAGGCGAACGCTTCACTGACCTTCCGCATGCACGTACGAGCCACACTCGCTACCCGCCGCGTACTGGAAGAGTTCCACCTCAACCGCGAAGCGTTTGAGTGGGTGTTGGGCGAGATTGAGGCGAAGTTCAACCAATCTCTCGTTAACCCTGGAGAGATGTGCGGTACTCTTGCCGCCCAATCTATTGGTGAACCAGCCACTCAAATGACTCTTAACACCTTCCACTACGCCGGTGTATCCAGCAAAAATGTCACACTCGGTGTGCCTCGTCTGAAAGAAATCATTAACGTCGCTACCAATATCAAAACGCCCTCGCTTTCTGTGTATTTGGAATCCGATATGGCCCAGGACAGGATGTTAGCGAAGAACGTGCAGCAAGAACTCGCTTACACATCGCTTCGGACTGTCACCGCCGCAGTCGAGATTTGGTACGACCCCGACCCTACGTCCACCATTATCGAAGAAGACTCCGTGTTCGTTGAATCTTTCTTCGCCATTCCAGATGAGGAAATCGAGTCGAAGCTCCATCTTCAGTCACCATGGCTTCTTCGGCTGGTACTCGATCGTGCGAGAATGATTGATCGAAAACTTACCATGGCATATGTTGCCGGTCGTATCGCTGAGAGCTTCAAGACGGATCTTTTCGTCATTTGGAGCGAAGACAATTCGGAGAAATTGGTTGTTCGTTGTCGTGTGTTAGGTGGTGGGGACAAGGATGATGATGGGCAGGGTACAGTCGAAGAAGACGTCTTCCTCCGCCAACTGGAGAACACAATGTTGAACTCGGTCAGCCTGCGCGGTGTACCTGGTGTCCATCGAGTATTCTTGTTGGAGCACGATAAGGTGTATGCCAATGATGAGGGGAGCATCAAGACGAAGAAAGAGTGGGTCTTGGAGACTGATGGTGTCAACTTGAAGGCGGTGATGTGTGTTCCTGGTGTCGACTTTACTCGCACGTACTCCAACAGCTGTGTGGAGATTTTCAACATACTCGGGATTGAAGCCGCGCGCGCAGCGATCATGAAGGAGTTGCGAGGAGTCATCGAATTCGACGGTTCATACGTCAACTACCGCCACCTGGCGTTGCTTTGCGACCTTATGACCCATCGCGGAACGCTCATGGCAATCACTCGTCACGGCATTAACCGTGCTGACACTGGTGCCCTGATGCGCTGCTCGTTTGAGGAAACGGTGGAGATTCTGATGGAAGCCGCTGCCGTTGGTGAAAAGGATGATTGTCACGGTATCGCGGAAAATGTTATGTTCGGCCAGCTTGCGCCTATGGGTACAGGTGCCTTCGACGTCGCACTAGACATCGACATGCTAAAAGACGCCATCGTCGATCATCGTCTCCCAGTGCAAAATATCCTTGCTGCACACGCGGACGGCGGCATGACACCAGGCCAAGTAGCGATGACGCCGTATGACACGAACTCCCCCGCATGGTCGGAGAGTAACTTCAAGGGCGAGTCGGCGGCATTCTCACCCCTTGCCGTCAACGGCGGAGAAGATCCTGCCAACTTTTCATTCCTCGGATACGGACAGAGTCCGTTGGGTGCAGGAGGCATGTCGCCCGCCGGCCCTGGGTATAGCCCGAGTTCTCCCAATGCGTACTCGCCTACATCGCCTTACGTCCCTCAATCTCCATACGGTGGAGCGACCTCACCATTCGGTACGTCGCCCTATGCGACGTCCCCGTTCTACGACAGAAGCAGGGGCGCTACATCACCGACATACTCCCCGACATCACCCGCACTCAATCTCACGTCTCCTGGTTACTCGCCGACCAGTCCACGGTATTCACCTACTTCGCCTTCCTTCTCTCCGACGTCACCGCGGTACAGTCCGCAGTCGCCTTCCTTCAGTCCCACATCTCCGCGGTACTCACCGACTAGCCCATCCTTCAGTCCTGCGTCTCCTAGATGTAAGTCACTTTCATCTGTCAGCAAACCGGTCGCTAACTTCACGCCAGATTCTCCTAGTACGACCTTCCACTCTGTCTCAATCATTCTACTGACCATTCCTTTTCTCGTGCCCTCCTTGCCTCAGCTTGTAAGTAATTTAAGTCACTCGCATAGTTATTCACTTACAGTACCCACCGCTCTGCAGCTCCTGCACAAATGTCTCCCTCCTCTCCAAAATACTCGCCCACGTCACCGGTGTCACCGTCCTCGCCAAAATATTGTAAGCGGACTCATTTTCATGCAATCTACATATTAATGCCGCCTTAGCTCCGACTTCTCCAACATATTCTCCAGCCTGTGAGTTATTGTCAATGTTGACCTTGGTTCTACCATATTGACTGCCGATTCTTTCACAGCTCCTGCCTATTGTAAGTGTCTTCCGCATATCAGCAAGGTCACAGCAGTTCATCTCTAGCAGCTCCCGTTTCTCCTGCGTACAGTCCAACATCTCCACAGTGGTCGCCTTCTAGCCCTGCCCAGAATGGCACATCTCACCGCGGTCACTCATACAGTACGTCCCCGTCATGGGAGTAAGTGTGTAGGGGTTTTTCTTTGGCTTGCGCCTGTCTCTTGCTGGACGTCCCCCCGAGTAGCTGGCACGTATCTAGTACGTTTTCGTTGTCATACACCCCATGTAGATTACCGCAATCTTTATTATGCAAGCTAAATAGCAATAATGTTGGTGCTGAGTAGAAAAAGCAGGTCGTGTCTTACATAAACGTCGCCTCCAAGACTTGGTCTCCTAGATCCATCTGCACCAATGGCAGATCCATCAAGCCAATCCAACTATATTTCTGTCGCAATCCGTCATTTGAGCCTCGAATGGTCGCTCGATTTTCCGATCCGCACGATTTGTGGAACGGCGGTATATGAATTAGAAGTGAAGGGGAACGAGGTGGCGGAGGTGATGTGCGTTTGACTACCGTCCCATGATTTCTTGTTTGCACGAGCCATGAACTGGTAGACCTGACCGACGGACACATTGAATGTAGACTGGATACTGCCGATTTAGTCATTGACAGCGTTCATGTAGATGGCAGCTCCGTCGAGGTGGGTTGACCTGGCTCACTCAGATCTCTTCCATTTCGCCATGTGCTAAGACGCTGATCCGAGTATTCACTTTTCTTTCGTGTAGTTCTCTCTCGGAGCCAAACACCCCGTCATGGGATCGGCTCTTCACATCCCCATTCTGCACCCCGCAATCAAGGGTGGAAGCGTGAAGCTTGCAATCAAGTACGAAACGACGACTGATTGTATGGCGTTGCAATGGCTAGATAAGGAGTACGTATTGCACCTTCCCCTTGGCGTGGCGTTCCTTCATCTGTTCTCCCTCGGGAATAATACTTATTGACCGTGCACCCACCATCTCACCCGCCGAAATGTCCACAAAGACAAACTCAGGGCGGAAAATTCCCGTTCTTATTCAGCCAGTGTCAACCTATATACGCGCGGAGTTTGGTGCCCATTCAGGGTAGGTATCTAACTTCTTGCCTTCATACACATGTTGTTTCTTGTTTTTTATCGTCTGATTCGGGAACTTGAGTCTGTGGAATGCTTACTAGTTTTTTCGGGGACTGAATAAAATCTACAGATACTCCATCGGTCAAATTCGTATGTCTTCATGCTCTCACTTACCACCTATTTCGAAGAGTGACAGCAGGTCCTCACGATATCTGTGTAGACTTACAACGCTCGCGTCACCGCAGTCCTCCCGGTCCTCATGTCCGCGATTCTTATATCCCCTGCATCGACAGGCCCCCCGCACGATGGCAGAAAGATAGGACAAGATAAGGTCACATACGTCTTTCTGCAGGTGGGTATCTGTGTCACCCGTGTCTACTGCAACAACCTCCGTTCTATTCCATCTTGATTTCGACCCGCAGTCCGTTCCGATTCCTTCGTACCTCCTCGCCATCGCGTCTGGGAATCTGCGGTACAGGCCTTTACCGGTGCCGAAAGGGAAAGACTGGACGAGCGGCGTATGGGCAGAAGAAGAACTTGCCGACGCAGCTGAGTGGGAATTTAAAGAAGATACCACGAAGTGCGTCCCCATCTGTCTCTCTGTGGCCTCCTCTGTCGGGATAGCACTTGTGCTCCATTTGGTGGTTAGGCTGACACGGAAGTGCGCATTGGTAGGTTTCTGGAAGCCGAAGAAAAGATAACGGTTCCGTATCGGTTTGGAGTATATGATTTATTGGTCCTTCCGCCATCATTCCCATATGGGGGTATGGTAAGTATCCTTTCACCCTTCGATCTCGACCTGCCCCTACCCGCGTATTGCCCTTCATGACGCTCTCCCACACAGGAAAACGCATGTGTCACGTTCGTTACGCCCAGTACGCACATCCTCTGCGTCGCGCTTCACTCCTGTTTAGACCTTACATGTCATAGCACTGCTCACCGGAGACAGGACCCTGGTCGATGTCGTTGTTCATGAAATCACGCACTCATGGTTCGGAAACGGGATCACGTTAGTGCACTAATCTTCCACTTTTCTCAATTCTGACCGATGATTTCACCTGCCAATCTCCTTGCGACGCCCCTTTTCATGATTTGCCCCCCACCAACCATATCGCTTCGCTACGCCATCCATAAACCAGGCATGCCAACGCCTGCCACTTTTGGCTTAACGAAGGCTGGACGACTTACATCGAACGTTTACTCCAACAAATTCTTCGTACGCCTGCACATCGCGATTTCTCGTTCCTGATCGGATCTAAAATGCTTTACGACGATCTCAAATTGTATGAATCTAGACCAGCATATCAGCGATTGGAGATCGCTTTTGAGCACGGAGAGAATCCAGATGATGCGTATAGTAGTGTGCCATACGAGAAGGGTGCGAATTTCTTGTTGCATATCGGTGAGTATCCTCTAGCGATTAAGATCTTCGACGGGCGAGTTGTACTGAATCCCTCTCTTCCACTTCACTGATTCCAGAGCGCACACTCGGGGGCCTTGACGTATTCCTTCCATACATCAGAAACTACGTGCAGACCTTTATGGGAAAGAGTATCACGACGCAGGAATGGAAGGACCACTTGTATGCTTACTACCGCGAGCACGGGACACGCGACAACGTCGAGGCGCTGGATAGCCTCGACTGGGATGTACGTCATTTGCCCCTCTGTCTATGACTGCTCTTCTGTTCTGTTCTTGTTACCACTGCCATGTTTGTTCTCACACTCCTCAGGCCTGGCTGCATGGCGAAGGCTTGACACTCCCAGTCCCTATCGAATACGACATGACGCTCGCTCGTCAATCCAACGTGCTTGCAGATCGGTGGGATAAAGCGCGTACCTCGATAAACCTTCAAGAACTCTTCGATGCATCAGATTTACAAAAATTAGACGCGAACCAGGTCGGTAAGTATCTAGTTTGCAATCATATTTTCTTATCTTCCATCAATCTAACCACTTCTTACACTAGTCGTCTTCCTCGAACGCCTCCAGTCCTACGCTGCTCTTCCCAAATCTCATATCAATTTCCTGGGATCAACGTACTCATTTGCCACAACGCCCAATGCCGAAATTCGTCTCCGGTTTTACCAAGTCGCTCTGTTAGATCCTCAGTCAGACGCTGCAAGGGAGTATGCCGTAGATGCCGCCGCATGGGTTGTCGGCCGGGAGACCACGAGGGGCCAGAGCGAGGAAGGAAGGAAGGGGGTTGTCAAAGGTCGCATGAAGTTCTGCAGACCAATATTTAGGGCGTTGTATGCTGTTGATGCGGAGTTGGCGTTGGGGACATATCGACGGCACAAACTTGCCTTTCATCCGATTGCGAGGAATTTGATTGAGAAGGTGAGAACTAATGGTGCTTGTACGGTTGTATTGATTATTGATCATTAATGGGGATGGTTGTAGGATTTGGGCTTGATCTCGACAGACGTCATCGCCAACATAGCAAATTAAGCATGCGGTTCATAGGGGATGTAGACAGTTAGAACGAACAGTAGATGGCTCACAAACAAAGAAGAAAATGCGTTCACATTGATATAACTTGTATATCCTGCATGTACATCAAGAATATGATATTGCACTCTATCCTTGACCGATCTTTTGGTCATTGTTCCATCCTCCTGAGCGCCTGGACTCCACGTATACTGGAACTGTGTGCACGACATGATCAACTTACTTAAAATCCCCCCACAAATCTCCAAACACGTCATCCTTCTTCGATTGGGATAACAGGGACTGTCCTGAGTTCAGAAAGTTGCCACCATTACCCGACCCAAAGATGTCGCCGCTGTTCGTGTCAGTGCTACCGACGTTGGGAATAACACTGGCAGTGGAATCAGAAGAGGAAGCCCATATATTCGCTGCGTTGAATGTTCCGCCAGCTGCAGGAGTAGCCGCAGTATAAGCGCCAGAACCAAATACAGAGGGAGTGCCCGAAGCAGAAGTCCCACCCCAACTCCCATTGGAGTGAACAGGGATCCATCCGGACGAAACGCCCCATGCACCGATACCGCTCCGACCCATCATACTTGTCGCCTGCGGCACATTGGTTGGCTGCGCGCCGACACTGGAACCAGTTGTTACAGTCGCTGGCACGGACGTGGATGAAGGGGTTGCCGAAAAAAGGGATAGAATGTCTTGTTTAACATCTTTGACAGTTGGTGGGGGTGAAGACGCCATTTTAAGGGGTGCAGGAGCATGGAAGTCAAGTGAGAAAAGGTCATCGTTCGACGTCGTAGGTGCTTGTGACTGGGACTGCAACTGAGCTTGGGGTTGGAGCTGGGACTGCCCTTGACCTTGTCCTGTGCGTCCCGCGACGGCCGCCGAAAGAAGTTGACGTGGCTGAGGTTGATTCCTCATATATGTGGGCGCAGTCAGCGAAGGAGATGCAACGCGAGGTGCTGAGATACTGCCAGGGGCGCGGATATGCGTGGGTGCCGAACGCGATGACGATGCGGATGAAGGAGCGACGGAAACAAATTGTTCTAAAGGAGTTGAGCTTCGAGCCGAATGCGGCGCGTCCCCACTCTCAAGGGACGGCGACGGATCTCCTCCGGCTTCAAGTACAGACGGGTCAGAGGGAGGGGGGCCGTCCAGCGCCCATCTTCTCGACTCGTACTTGGAGCGAATGTACGATTCCATCTTGCTGCAATTTGCAGTCAGTATGGGGTCGACACTCCAGCGGTCAAGGATGTTCGATGGGTAGAGGAAGGGGGAAGGGAACGTACTGATCTGGAGGGATATGTCCCGATTTTAGATGGGCTTCCCAATACAAATTTGCACGTCGATTCCCCCATTTTTCAATGGACTGTATATCGAATCAAACAACACCGGCGATTGGTAGGATCGTTAATGACGAGTTTGCCAGCACAGGTTTTAACCGCAATAAGTTTCATCAGAAAGGTCATCAGCATCAGCAACGAAAGCAGGAGTGAAGGAGTGAAAACCATATCCCTCATTTATCTCCTACACTCTTCCCCCACTCGATCCACCGCATGCAACAATGCGAAAACATGAAAGAGATGAAAAGAACACCCCACCCACCTGCATCTGTTCTGGAGTCCACGTATCAAGGTCGATCGACTTGACGCGACTGATGTGCGTGCCCATTCCACGATGGATACCTGAGCAACGGATGCAGAGGAACACGCCTCTGGAAGGTTTGCCAGAATGCACAGTGAGTACACCGCATCGCAAGTCAGAAGTGGACGCACATATTCCACGATGCCCAGCGAGGATCTGTATGGTCGTTGTAAGTAGATACAGAGTCAGCCAACCAGTAGAACGAGTAAGGAGGTCGAAGGGGAGTGTTGGCTCACCGTTCCGCTTACAATCCGCACAGACCTTGTTTTCCTGTCTTTTTACGAGCTCGCGCAGAATTCTAGCATGTCGATCTGTGGTGGCCTTGTCCTGTCTTGACATTCCGGAGTTGTGGTAGGTGCCAAGTGTGTACTTTAGTCTATGGCGTGTTGTATGTATATCGGTACTGAAAAAGCGGTGTAACACGTTGCAAACTTGGCTCCACCCACAACGATGTCGTCGCCGTCAGCAGCACGCGCAGAAGCTCGTCGAAAAGCCATTCTCGGTCGGGGAAGCGACCGTCTCGCAAAACTAACGACGTCCGCGCGAGGAGAAGACGCCTCGTCTTGCATTCAAACAGGTTCGTCTGACACCCCTCGCAATCATACTTGTACCCTATGAATGACAACACCCAGGCATACCCGCACGAACGGGAGCCAGCACGGATTTGGCTTCATTCACAGGCGAAGAAACGCCCCCTCTGCCACATGTCGACGTGTCGCGGACTTCACCATCGCCGCCATCTGTCTCTGGCGCTGCGGCTGCACCCGCCTCCGCAGATCTACAAGACCCATCCGCATGGACGGACAACCAACAGCGACAGTTAATGCAGGCGCTTATGGGTGGTGGAGGTGCACCGCGTACTCCTTTCTCGTTGCCTCACCAGAGCCAACCATCCGCGGATGCCGACCCCATGAACACGTTCCTGGCCCAGCTGGCACAGGCCAACCAAGCGCAAGGACAAAGTTATGGGCCGGCAGCGGCAGCAAAGCCCCCCGTCCCACCGACGCCCCCCTCTCGTTTCCAAAACCTGGTATCTCTGATACACGCGCTATGCATGTGGTTCCTCCTCGGATTCTTCGTGCTCTGGAAGGAACCAGGCGTATACGCTGAGAAGACAGGTGTACATCAAGACGAAATACCGATGTGGAGACGATGGAAAATGCTTGGATATCGTCGCCCTGGAGATGAGGGTGGATGGGGCGTGCAATTGGTGGTGCGTAGAAGCTAGCCCACTCATGGTAGCACAATACATCTAATCAGGTGGTTCCTCAGCCGTTCTTTTGGGCACTGATGACACTAGAAATCATGCTCCACACCATCCGTGTATTCACGGGACATGTACGTCCCCTGTTCACCCCTATATTCCTATTTCCTTACCACATCTAAAAATACAGGCCCAACCCAACCCACCCAAACTGCTTGCCCTTGCAATTCACCACCTCCCACCTCCCATTCCATCGTTGATAATGGACGCCCTGCGGTACCTCCAATTGGGAAACTCATTCGTGGATGACGTCGCTATGATTGTGTTTGGGATTGGCGTGATCGTAATGGCCGCGGGTTGGGCTGCTGCTTAGTGGTTGATTAGGTGCTTATGGTTTGGGTGCCTAGTGGTTGGGCTTAGTTGACTTGGTATTTAATGCTCGTCCATGACATGTAATGACGACAATCACGATATATAAAACGCCACGAAAATCAAGGCAATATGGCAGCGGCGCCCGTCCTCGGTCGATCTGGCGCACCTAACATCTCTTGCACCCTAGCCTCCCTTTCGCTCTCACCCTCTCTCCTTGACACTACACCTCCGGCCTTACCAGCGGAAGAATCCCTCCGCACAGCCCTACTCGCGGCAACCACGCGCTCCCGATCCTCCCCTGGTAAAAGAGGGTGACCAGCTTTCATCGCAGCCGCTCTGTATGCTTTCCATGCGTCCCCACCGGCAATGTCCATGAGCTCCTTGGTAATCGCGGTCGACCATTTGTGAGACATGTCAATGGTTTTAGTGGCACCATTTTCTGTGTACGGGAGTGGGTTGGGAGTACAGGTTGGAGGGACCGATGGGACAACGACGTAAAAAAAACGCGATGGAAACGAAGACTTAGTAGACGTAGCAGTAGTGGAAAGAAGTAAAGATGCTCACCATACTCAACTTCCATCTCCGGCCTCGCGATCCCCCTCGTTACCTCGTCCTGCTGCTCTTCCTGCCCTCGCCCTTCGTGTGTCTGAGTCTTAGTACTACTACCAGCCCTCACGACCTGAATATCCAGCGCAGGATTCGCCCACCGAATCCTTGGCAACTCGTCCTTGACAAAATGTCTGCGCCAAACCGCTGGGTTCGTTCATCACGTCCGTAACAGAGCACCAACGAAAGAAGAAAAGGTCGAATAAGCTAAGACATGACTCACCTCGCACCGACGTGTTCGTCCTTGACCATCCGTAGCCGTACGGCCTTCAGGTTCCTGTCAAGCGCGAGACGCGGTCCAGTGTTGAGGTTCTGCAGGACCTTGGAGAGGTGCGAAGGTGGTATGGGGCGTTTGATCATCGAGTCGAATGGATTTCCTGGGGAACTCCAGCAGACTGGCCGTGGCGAGAGCCGTGTGGTCGACCGTGTGTTACGTAATGTGGTGGTAGAAAATAGAACCCTAACCCTATTGTAGGACCTCAAGTCAATGAACAGTCCATGTGTTTCGAATGCTTTGTTTCTTGGAGGGAAACTATGTACAGTGAGAGAAGAAGATAGAGATGCCTTGGGTTCTAAAATGTACCAGGGCGAAGAGTCTAACAATGGGACTGTGAATTGGGTGGAAACCTGAAGGGTTTTCCAGCCTGGAGGAGGAACTGTATCTGGGGCAAAGAGTGAGCTGTGCCCCTTTGATGAAAGGAGCCCAGCGATGCATACAGCGAAGCTCTTAGCCCTGTGAAAAGGAGATGGGTGCTCACTATTGGATTTCAATGGACTGGTAGCATCGTGTACCTAGTGAAATGTTCGAGTAGAGCTGGGGTGTCATTGAGGTATGGAGCTAGTATCATTGCATGCTGGCATGGGTATAGGGTGAATGAGTCTCCTGCCCACCTGCCAATTGTTTTGACTACATCAAATGGAGTGCCTTGAAGTAAATAGTGTAGGGTTCCTCCTATCCTCAAGCTATGGCCCCTGATGTTTGGGAGATTGTGAGCAGTTGTCAGGGTGTTTATTCACTTGAGTACCTCTGTTTTTGAAAGAGGGTGAAGGCCAGACATGGGGTGTTTCCAGGCAAAAAGATGTGCAGAATCTTTGGCTGGATTGAGATGTAAATGGCATTTGAGAGTGTGGATTGGGTCTGAGATAGCTCCTTGTGGGGGAGCACATTGCACATCCTCACCCTTTGGTGACATTTTTGTCCAGGGGATGTGGAACTTCATAACAGGAAGTCTGCTGAGGTTGTGTAGGTGCTTGACATGGGCTCTGGAGATATGTTTCTCTGGGTTGAATTGTGTAATCACTGGTACAGTGAACTCTCCTGGGTGAGCTACACAGTAGAAAATGACCATTAGGCAAGCAAATATTGCTGCATCTTTCAGGCTTTCTAGATCCATTAAGGAGTGGAAAAGCTCTAGGGTGTTCACATGGAAAGGTTCACAAAGGGCTCATTTGGATGAGGCAGGGGCTAAGTGTGAGGCTCCTTCTAGTATAGCTTGGAGCTCCTCCAGGTTAATGTTCCAGGGTATTCTGTGCAGGAGGTGCCAGGCTTGTAGGCCAGCTGTGAAGTTTGACAGTGCTGAACCTGAATAGGATCCTGCATAGCTGGAGAGGAAGGTGAGCAGGGTGTTCACTGTGATGGGGGCCCTCTGAGATTCTGACATTCTATGGGTGTCACAGAATACATGGTAGGTAAGTAGTCCTGCTCTGTAGGTTTCTTTGGTCTTCTCTGCCCACAACACTCCAATTACTTCAAGGATGCAATCAACTTGTTGATTTGTTATGGTGTGCACACCTTCTTCCTTGGGGAGGCATGTGATTCTTGATTTGGTGGGGGGTGGTTGTCATAGCTGTAGGCATTCTTTGGCTAGGCAATGGGGGCATAGGGGTGAGGGGCATGGGGTTAAGCTTTTTGGAGGATGACGAGCTGCAGGATTGTCAAGTCTATAGAGAGGAATATACTCAGACTTCAAGTTGGTTGAGGCTATACAATTAACTACCTATAGAGAGGAATATACTGTAGGTAGGTAAGTAAGTGTTCCAATATAATGAATGGAAGGAGTCCCACCTCAGACTTCAAGTTGGTTGAAGCTGAGGTACAGTTGGAAAAAATAAACTGCTAAGTGTCCGCTTTTGGATTACATAATGCTGTGCTCGGTGAACCACAACTAAGGTAAAAGTGATAAACTCCAACAAAGCTGGGGTGGTAGGGGGCAGGGAGGGGCCATGGATGCTAGGTAGTTGTTAGATGTCTTGAGTGGAGTGTCAAAGCATTGGCAGATTTCCAAGCTAGTTGTTGAGGAGGGATTGTTGGATGAGACTGTGCTCATCTGCAGCTGCTGCTTGCCTTCATTCCTTTATTTCAAGAGTGATTTGAGTGCAGTCAATGATTTTGGCTGCTGGGGAAGGGTATGCTCCTTCTCTCCTGAGCCATAGCTCAGTAGCATTGGGGGGGGCAGCTGCATCAATGATGGAGGGTTGGATTTGTATGGGGATAGGGATTGGAGGGAGGAGAAGGTCTGGATGTCCATATATTCCCCTTGATAAGGGGTCTGCTGGGTTGGCACCACTGGGGATGTATTTTGTGTGGATTTGATTAATGCAAGGGGACATGGCAATGAATGAATGGATTTGTTTGAAAACTTCATTGACTTGGGTATTGCAATGGTGACTGTTTTGCCATCCTTCGATGACCCTGGTGTTATCTCTGAATGTGATGACTGAGCTGTTGTTTGCAACAATGCAATTGATTGCATAGACCAGAAATTCGAAGGCAATGGCTTTGGCCCATCCAATATCTCTGGTACTGTCTCAACTACTTTCCCAACCTGGGATGAGTCTCCATGCATGCCAGTGCTTGCCAATTTTGATTCCAATGCCAATTTTAGAGCTAGCATCAGAAAAGGCTAGTATGTTGATGAGCTTGCTGGGCAGGGAGATGGAGCATCAGACATTGCCAGATTGTAACTGTTCTGTCCACCAGTTGATGTCATTAGCTACTCTTTTGTCTGCTTGATGGGGCATAAGTGGCTTTGGTGCACTTGTTTTTAGCATGGCCTCAAGGCCAGTTAGGTATGCTCTGCCATGTGGCAGGGCTGCACAGGCATGAAGTAATTTGCCATATAGTTCTTTGATGTCCTGGAGAACATGGGTCAGTCTTTTGTGCCATGCATGGATTGCCTTAAGGTACTTTGTAGTTTTTGTTGGGCTTAGTGAGACACAGTAGTTTTTGAGATCCCATAGAAAGTCTATGTACATTGTAGAGTGGCTAAATGGTTGATCTTTTGATTTCTCCCAAGGGATCCCAAGGTACCTTGATAGTGCATCTATGTCTTTGAAGCTATATGAGAAAGACACATTGTGACTAGATCTCGAATCAGCTGTGAATAATTTTCATTGAATTCTTCCATTATGTTGTTCTCCTGGGTCCTGCCCAGGAATAGGATCCTGGCCCCTAACTGCTGGGGTTCTGGTGAGGTAATTTTGGATTTCCATTGGTTCCTTAGCTTGTTGTAGGCTGCTAGGTATTCACACTTGATGCACATGAAAATGTGATTGTCCACCCATTTGTCCATAGGTCTGATGCCATGATGTCTCATTATTTCTGTACTAGCATTGGCCATGTGACCATATATACCTGATGATGGTGTTGCCCCAAAAGTGAGACATATGTCTATGCACCTGTGGGTGTCTGATATTTGTATTATGTTCACTGGCCATTACAAGGGATGCAAAGGGATTGTTCGATACACTTTGGCAATGTCTCTAGTTCCCACTTTGGGTCCTTGTGGTAGGTGTGAGAGTAGGAGGTATACTATAGTGAATGTTCCCCATGTCATTGGGAAGTCATGCACATCAGTGTGAGAATTGATTGAGGGGTTGGGGGTTTGTTGGTTTGGGGAATGGGGGAATGAGAAGTTTTGTACTAGATGGTATTTTCCAGGGTGGTCAGGTTTGGGAATGATTGACAGTGGGGACAACTGAAAGGGTCCTATTGGTTCTGTGATGGAATCTAGTGTGCAGGGGCCAATGTAGTGGCCTTCTCCAATTTCTTTTGTTATTGTCTTACAGAGTTCTTTGTCATAAGTGAGGACAGAATCTCTGTTAGGGGGAGATTGTAGAAGTGTGATTGATGGAAAGTTTATACAGAATCCCTGGCAAAGGCCTTCCAGGATTTTACTGAAATGACAGGTAAAACTAAACCTGCTGAGCTCTCATTCCCAAGCCTCTACATTATAAGGTGTCATTGGGTGCAGCCTTCTGTGTGCAAGGGCATCTCTGGGCTCTGTCAGTTGTTGCACCACACCCCAAGCATAGATACTTGGTGTCATGGTGCTCAGTGCAACCTTCTTCGCATTGCCACTTCATGCAGATATGCCTCCCATCATCTCTGGAGAAGAGTGCCTTGTGAATTCATTCCACAAAGGTGGGGTGCTTTCTGTCCCAGGTGGAAGTGGCCTTGCACTTGATGATGAGATGGCATTGCCTTCTGAGGAAGACAGTGCATGTGGGAAATGGCCCATTATGGGGCTGATAGTCTGATGATGTGTGGTTCTGAAAGGATCTTTGGTGCTTGTTGTCCATATAGTTGGAATGGTTGTGTTCTCCAGGTGACAGGGGGTGCTTTTGGTTGCTTGGGGTTCTCATGATTATGAGATGGCAGGGGGTGAGCAGTCATGGCTAAGAAGCGCTTGTTGACCTGTGGATGATGACAATTAAGGGGGGGGGTAGGTTTTGATTGACGACCACCAGCCAGTAGTAAGTAGTTTATGAAAGTGTGATAGGCACATTGATCAGCAGATGTGATGCTGGAGAGGGGAGTTTTATGATCAACAGATGTGATGCCAGGTCTGAGAGGGGGGTTGTAAGAAACCAAGTAATTGATCAATGGATGTTATGCTGGGGAGTTAGTGTGTATAGGTAGTGAAGCTGGAGAAAAGGAGGGGGGTGAAGGGAAAGTGTGGAGCAGATAGTGGAGGGTGGAAAGTGGAAAAGGTGAGGTTAGTATGAGTGGCATTGGGAATGCATGCATTCCACACCTTTCTGAGGTTCTCAAGCTCCTGGCTATGTTCTTTGTCCAATATTTCTTCATGAGCATCATTCAGTAGATCTTGGTTCAATTCAGATAGCAACCAGGTGTTGAGTGTTGAAAGGGTATGATGCCATCTCTGTCTCTCCTTGCTTTGGTAGAGAAGTAGTGCTTTCTTCAGATGCACATGCATTGAATGATGCCAGGGATGGGCTTCAATGGCCATCCAAAAATCTATGTGCATGTCAACCCTCTCTTCCTCCCAATCATGTTCCTTCATAGCACTTATCAGACAGATGGATGCTTCTCCAAACTGTTCCCAGGTTAGGTCCTCATCTTTTATAATGGATGACTTATCTCTGGTGGTTGATGCTGGTACCCAGATGTGCTGGCCATTGTCAGCTTTGAGTAGGGTCAAAGCCTCATCATCTATCAAGGGGTTGAATGTTTCTGCTTCTGCTAAGCCAATGTTGGTGAAGAAGTACAGTTCACAGTATTCACCCTTCTTGAGTTTGCATGCTGCATATGGTGAGGGGATGTTAACAGGACCAGAGGGGACTCCTACTTTGCATATTGGAGTGTGCTTGGTTCTGTTCTTTTTCCATTCTTCCACTCATGCTGTTTCAGCTTCTTCGATTTTGCAGTGTTGTCATTTGGCAAGTTCTTCTTCAGCTTGTTCTGCTTCGTCTCAAGCTCTTTGGGCTTCTTGTGCCCTGCACATTTGCCAGCTAAGTTTTTCCTTGTTGTTTAGAACCCATAGGGTTGCTAGAATATTTGTGGCTTGTTGGTCATCTACTGTGTCATTAACAAGTTGCAAACGAGCTTCCTGATACTCCTCTGTATGAGAGTTGGTGCATTGCTCTGCGAAAAACAAGAGGAGATCTGCACGACGGCTGGAGGCGCAGAGTCTGCAATTCGCGAAGTGTGCAGAGGACAAGAGACACGTCACACTTCGCTTACTCACGCATGGACTAAATTCTATGCAATGCTCCGTAAACTCCGCTTACATAGAAAACTAGCTATACAAACCGGTGCCTAACACTATTGTTACCAGTATCGATGCTTGCATCGTACCGGCGTATCATGCAGCCCTTATCTACAAATCCGCTATTCTAATACTGGAAGAAACTAGTAATCGGCACTTCAACCTTCAGACGGTCCATCTTGCCAGCAAGCTCATCTCCGTGTTTCCAAACTTCTCCAGCCCAACCAGTAGGATTCGGAATCATAGCGCGACTCAGTTCCTGCTGAGATAGCTAAAGGAGTTGGCAAGTATAGCAAAGAATAACCCTAGACGAAACGCACCTCGAGGCGTGCGGTCAACGCCCGGGCATTGTTGGAGGCCGATTTTGCATCTTCCGTGTATTTGTATGCTTCGAATAGAGTTAGGAAGGAAAAGTCCTTGGTAAGCCTGTCGAACCTGCGCAACTTACTGAAGGACAGATTCAACAAAAAAGGTACATTGTCAGTCAAACAACTGAACTCACCTCATGACTCGTTCAATGATCGCTACATGGTTACCCAGCCACTGTCAGCTTCGATGGAGTCTCGATCGCGGCCTTTCACGGAAGGAACATTAACACTGGCACTGGCGCCCTCTCACTGCACTGCAGGGAAGGGGTAACGGGATATAAGGAATGATCGACTTGTTGGATTCGAACGGGGCCACCATCCTGACTGCGTGGCATATCGGGCGCTACACGCATACCCGCACGAGCTCTGAGTGGAACTCCGTTGGCAGTATCATTTCTGCCGCGCCGTTGGGAGTACTTGTCATTCGATGCAGTCTGCCCGGATGGCTGGTCGATGGCCTGACGGGTAGTGAGTAAGGATGGTATATTCTTGACTTGCAGGACGCTCTTCGGCGTGGGCGTCCCGGTTGCATGGATCGTATTGGGGATTCGTGGCGTGGAGCCAGGCCAATTGAAAACATGAGTGGTGGGTGAAGCCAACTGGCCAACACAGGGTGTAGCGTTGTGTGGGGTCTAGCAAGGTATCAAAACTGACATGTTTGGCACGGGAACCAGCTTACGTTACGATTACTTGGAGATCGGAGGTTGAGGTTCGTTCGCATTTCGGCCGGACGTGGGGCGGTCGTGTAACTTCGTTCGGATAGCGTCGTCGATGTCGGAGTCCAGTTCGATATCAACGTGGGGATGTCGAGGGGCGACAATTGGGATGTCGAGTTGGGCGATGAACCGGCGGTATAATGGGCACGCCGTGATCCGGGAGGGTTATGGGGCTCAGACAGCGTAGGTTGCCTGTGAGCGGGTGGAGTCCCAAACTCCAGATGACGATCCGGTGCGTCCAAGGCACAGCCCGGGCACGGAGCATCTTCCGGAGGTAAGCCGACGCAGGACCACCGAGGGGAAGCAGGAAATGGGGTAGAGTCCCGAGAGTGCCACCCCTGTTCTGGGTGACAGTGCATGCGAAGATAGGCGCGGGGATAGTGGTGGGCATTGGGTGTCGTACGAATTGACATGGGAGCCGGGTAGAACTGGGAGGAGCACTGATTATAACATGGGCGAAGGTAACTGAGTTCTCGAGAGTCACTGAACGCGAGCCCTTTAAGTATGCTGTAGAGGGCGTCTACATAGAGAGCGCTTGGTGGCTATCCGGGCACACTGTACCCGACTCCTCTATCGCAATCATCATTACCATGATGTCATCAGCTGGCCATCCGCGTGTATTGTGGGGCAGTGCGGAGCACGGGATCATGAAAGCGCTCGCTGCCAAGCCTCCCCGGTGAGCGAGCCAACAGGCAGTACTCCTTGTAGTGTTTCATCAACATCAGTCGATGTCGGGCCCCTTCTCTAAACCAGACTATTAGGAGTGAGGTGGAGTATTGCGAACTATCCGTGATAACAGCGCGCTATTCTATCTCACAGTCAGGGGTGGGTCCTTCAGCGCCTCAGCGCCCTCTGCTGTTGTCCTTCCATTTCGGTCATGATCCTTTATCGGCCTCTGTGTTCCAGCCGGGCCAGCTCGTTCGTTATCTCTATTGGTGCCATCACGCTGCAGGAGTCTGCGGGTGTATCGAGAGATCCACATGGGTACCGAGCAGAACCTGCTAGTACAGTTCATTGGTACAGTACATTTTTAATGTTACGCTATCTGCCAGCTCATTTCTCCAGAAGCGACCACAGCTATCATAACGATTGGAGACTCTTCATTTGAACCTGACTCGACATCACCAGAACACGCATCTACGTAGTCCCTCAAGTAGCCAGAGATGCAAATTATGTATAGGTAACGCGTTAGACGAGGAACTCAAGCAAGCTGCCGACGAGGAGAGGTCAGGCTAGGATTGTGCATCGAAGAGAGGTCCTCACTCTCATCACACCTAGCAATCCATTCCAACAGATTACGGACGTGCACGCATCATTATTTTTTCCACCCCCCGGATCCAAAGACGGGCCGCGAACCGCCATACGTATCCGTTAAATTCCACAGGGCACTTTTGTAGTCTTTGGGAGCAGGTCCCACTGGTGTGCCTAGGGAATTCTCGTGGAGGGAGTAGCACGTGAGGGATTGGATGTTGGCCACTTCAGCCACTTCTTAACTCCTGTCGATGATCTTGAAGCTGATGAGGGATGAGTGTCAGGATAGGTATTTGGCAGGATAGGTGCCCCCCCGCCGAAGCCGTAACGCTCTTGGAGATTAGCGAAGGCGGCAGAATATTAGGGTCACTCAAAGTTGAAACATGAGTTGCGAGTTCGACGAGTTTGTAGGTTAAGTATTTAAGCTCCGCAGAAAAGAGCGGAAATGGTAGAGAGATACACAATGCTATTAAAGCTCCGATTGGAAATTAAAACTCCGCTGAAAACGCTTATCAATAGAGATATCTAGCATATCTTGTTTTCTCAAACTTAATGCAGTGGGAATGACAACATGTTATATGCCTAGCTACTACATGACCATGTAGTGTGCATATATAGGGGGAGGGGGGGGGGATATGTTGCACAGCATGTATATAAGCAGGGGGGAAGGGGGATACATGCTAGATGATGATAAGAATGTGGTCATAAACTGTTGTTGAGTTTGTGAACACCTTCATTAGTCAATGAAGGGCCTTGGTCCTCACCACCAGCTACACCCCTCTGCAGGGCTAGGTTCTGCCCCCAAAGCTCTTCCAACTTCACCATGAATTTCATCTTCTCTAGCTCCTGAGCTGCCATAGCCTCCTCATGGGCATACTGCTCATGCTGCATCACAAGCTGGTGCTGATGTTCAGCCAGGTGGCTGTTGGCCTTCTCATTCTCCTTCCAGTAGCTGTACTGGAGACAGTGATGTTTTGCCTCTGACCTCTCTTGTTGTGCCTGTTGGAACTGCTGTATGAAGCTCATGGAGGCAGATGCAAGATTCGAGGAGAGTTGGTTGGCAGGCATTTCACAAGTACACTTATGGGATGACTTCAACAACAGCTTCAAATCACTGTCATCTGAGAGCAGAGTGATAGTGGGAGGGGAAGAGGATGAGAAATGGAGCATAGAAAACATGTTGGAGGATGCAATGTCAGAATCAGAAGAGTCATCCATATTCGGGGGGGGGGGGGGACAGGGAGGCTAACATTGACTCAGAAAAAAATAGTGCAGGCAAGGGGGCAGAAGATAGTGATGACAGTCTGAAGGGGGGGAGTGGTGGGGCAGCAGATAATGATGACCCCTGCTCAGAACAGAATGGGGGGGGGGGGGGCAGTTGGATGGTAAGCAATGGTGTCTTGACATCCACACTCATTGAATCTTCTGCAAAAAAAATGTCAGTAGTACCACTACCCTCTCCTATTTCGCCTTCTTCGAGCTCAGATGAATTTGGCACACCTGCCAAGGAAAAACTGGGATCTCCACCTAATGGGTCTGGCCACAGCTTGAACAGCTTGACCACATGCCTTGTGAATTCCTGCCTGCTATCAGCTGCACTCCAGGTACTATTGTAGGCAGGGTTTGTGCACCACCATCCATGCAATTTCCCCCACCATGGAAATTCCTTCTCAATCATTGCTGATAACAATTGGTAAAGCAACAGATGTGAAAAAAAAGTCTACATACCAATGATATTTTTTGTGCTGCTGCTGTCTACCAGATCCTCATAGGTATATCCAGCACCCATCTGCCCAAGTAGTGCAATCTGTTTTTGATACTTGTTTTTTAAACTGTAAAATTTTTAAGTGGTAGTTTTTTTATTTCAAAAAAAAAAGTACATACACTTCAAGTTGACTGCAGATAGGAGCAGTGAAGACAGATGGGTTGTCTTGAGCAAGGACCTGAAATTCAGGTGTCTTGTCACTGACTGAGAAAATCACCTTTGCAATCTCAACATAGATGGCACCCTTCCCATGTTGCAATTGCTGCTTGCTCCTACCTTCCTCCTGAGCATCTTGTGTAGAGTCTGAAAAGAGCTTCTTTTGTTCTGATTCATGGGTCCTGCACCACTTGATAAGATGATCAGTCTGCACAGTGTAGGATTTCTCTCAGAGAACTTGAGGGACTGCCACTTTTGTTGCTGATTTGAAGGGTTGTGCTGCTGGGGGGGGGACCAGGGGAATCAGACTCCATGGACAACAGGCTGTTGATGACAAGCAAGGAGAGTGAAGCAGAGAGTGGTCAGAGTTTGAATTCTGCCATTCTTGGCTGAAAACTCACATCAAACACCTGACGAACACCTGACTCCACAGCTGAACCTCTGGCGACTTTGAGTTGCACTAATAGTCTTTTCACTGTGAGTCAAAGTGAGGTTCAGTGGTGTAAACCAACCAAAACCAACACAAAGGACAAAGAAAGCAAGTGGTGGTGTGCCTATGCAGTACCTAGATGGTGGAAGCTCTTGTTCAGGTGGGTTTTTGGCAAGTTACAACACTCAAAGATGAGAGCTGAGGGTTGGGGGTTCTCCTGACAAAGAGGGAGCAAGAATGTGAGAGGATGTGATGGGGTAGACTGCTGTCAGCCTACAGAAGGATGGATGATGACTTAATTTGATGTCCTAAGCTATTCTGAGCTCAGGGAAGACTTGGAGCAAAATATATTGATGATAGATGACAATAGGTGAAGTTGACAGTAGTTAGATCCTTAATAAAGTCTCAACTAATGAAGCTGATGAATGAATTTCTGAGAGATGATGAAATGTGAGCAAGAGGGGCTCTCTGATGTCCTCTCTTTTTTTTTTTTTGCTATCTAAGTACAGTGGTTTATATACAGTACAGGGGCATAGCCTATGGAAAACAAGGTGCAGATGCTTGGTAAGTGATTGGTACTGATAAGTAAGGAATGTAAGCAGTGGGTAATCATCTTAGAAAGCATTGGTAAGGATAAGTAGGGATAAGTAAGCCAAAATGCAAAGAATCAGTAAGCAAAGTCAAAAGATTGGTAAGTAATTGCAATAGGTGAGTCAAGGACAGTCAGAATTTCAAAATATGAGTCAAGCAATGTCAGAAACTGAGTAAGTGCACTGGAATTGCATAAGGGGGAGGCTGTGCATGTCACATCTCAAAGGAATTGCTTCTAGGCCAAGGTGGGAGAGGCAGTGCTGATCTGATGTTGATATAGTACATCCAAAAAGGGATGGCAGGTGTCAGGTATTGAAAGGGGTCAAGGCTTTGGGGGTCTGTGGGGTGACAGGAGCATAGGGGATTGCAATGTTCCCCCCCCAACTGTCCTCTCAGTGAAGTTAATAAATACTTCATGAATGAGACTCTGTTGGAAGAGAGGATGAAGGGGGGAGCATCTTCTGCTGTATCTTGCAACAAGAAGGCAAGATGTGCATCATACTCATCATGGATGCAATCAGGGAGAGTGGAGAACAGTAGCTTATACTGTAGCTGTTGCAATTTTGGAAGAATGATGGATGAGATAGGTATAAAGACATTGCAGGGAGCAGGGAGGAAGGATCCATATGCTTCATTGACTGGGGAGACTGAAATGACCACATAAGACCTTTCAAGCTGAATGACAGACCTGAGGTGACCAAAGAATGTCCTCCTGGAGGTCATACTGACAAAAAGAACATGCTGTCCAAGCTGGATGGGCTGAGAGGGGGCAGATGAGGATGGGATGTACCAGGATGCTTCAGGATGGAAGTTAGTAGGAACCCCTGGTAAATATACATAGCCATGGTCCCTAGCGAAGGGGACAAGCAAAAGGATTGATGTGGAGGCAGCCATATCAGAGGAATTAGTGAAATGAGTGTCTGTTGAAGGGAGTGCTGTAGAAACATGTGGAGTGTGAGAATCTTTTCCAATTTTGGAAGGTAGGATTGTGTGGCTGAGCACTATAAGTGAGTGTGGGAACAGGGTCAGTATCTTTGGAAATGGGGGAGATATGTTGAAAACTGCAATGCTGTACACAGGTGCTAAGAATTTTTATGGGCACTTAACTTGCTTCCTTCTTTTTTCTTTGGCATTGATGACTTGTTCTTGTGTGAAGGATGACTGCCAACATTCCTGGCTGTCTTCCTATGCACTAGGGCTCTAGTCTCTCATCTCCATTCATCAGCATTATCCATGTCCAAGTCACCAAACACCTTTGGTGTGTGACATTGCATGGCACTGCATCAGGAAATTAACCAAATACTATCCATGCTTTTTATGGAATTATTTGTCTATTTCAACTATTGTGGCTATTTCCAGTCACACTCAATACAGACAAAGTTTAGATTAGTCAACATAGTTAAAATAGTCAAGATAGTAGTAGTAGTGAAGAAAGTGTTATTCTGTGCCATATACCATATATACATACAGGGGTCTCTGTTCATTTAGTACTCAAGTCATGTAAGGATTGCTAGTGACATATGCTACCTAACTCCTAACTGCTTCTCAAGTTTGTGTCCCAGATGGTTGGCCACATGGTTGTTCTAACACCTTTTGAGTGCTGTCTGCAAGCACTCACTCACTGAGTCACCACCTTTTACCTGCACCCACCACAGTCAAAATACATGCATCCATCAAAAGAGAACCCTTGTCTCAGAAGTGTTCAAGTGACTCTTGTTATGTGGATGAGAATCAGGTGAGTGTGATGTGGGTGGCATGTGGAAGGAGCAAGATGAGTGAGATGGAATAGGGGTGTGTTGTTCAGAAGACAAACTTTTGAAGGATGCTGTAGGTATCCTCAGTAGTGCAACAAGCTGCTGATGTATTAGACCAACCTGTAGGTATCTACAGGATATCAGTAAGTATAATACTGGTAGTGAAAGTGAGCTTACCCTCAGTAGTGCAACAAGCTACTGAGGGAACAGTGAATAAACTACTGTAAAATGTGCGCTCTAAGGTGATTATATAAGCACACAAACATCGCACCAAAGTGAGCAGAACACAGGGGAGAATATATCTCCAACACAAACCACTACCTCACTTCGCACTCTTGACTTGAGAGCACTTACTGTCTGTTTCCTCCATTGTGAGACTGAGCAGTCACTTGAGGGATGATGCTCCAGATGAAGCAGGTGAAGTGTCAAGTATGGGCCTACTCTGACCAACTCTGACACTAGACAGGGTCTGGGGAGAGGTGTGAAAGTGAGTCTGACACAGGTGAACAGGACTCTGACTAGCAGAGGGTTGGCAGGGATGAAGTCCACTGAGGCAGAAGTGAAATGGAGTGAGGGCATTGGGTTTAGCTCATGCACTACCCCCTTGCACCATCTCAGCCTTCATATTTCAGAGGTAGAGACCAGATGGAAGATTGCAGATAACTCCAACAGACAGGAGATGGAGAGATACTGTATGGAGTAGGCACTTAGGTGATATTTGTACTGAAGAACAGTGGAGTATTGTACATGCTTTTATACTACTATGGAGGTACAGTAACCAGAATTGGAGCTAACATATGGAGACTCATAAATTTTCAAGTAAAAACTTCCTGGATGATGAATGAAGGGAAGACAGAAAACATACAATGGGTAACCTAGAGCAAGCCAAAAAGGAAACAGTCCAGGTGCCAAACCATGAGGTGCACATGCTGTGGAGTACCTGACTGTGTGCTGTCAAGGAGAAGTCCAAAGGCTGGACTGGTAAGGGTCACATAATCCACTGGAAGATGGTCTGCACAGTCTGATGGTAGGCTGGTACCAAGTCTGACAGCAGTCAGGGTAGAGAAGACTTGCAAATGACAGAGGGCTGGTGGAGTTGGTGCAGAGTGAGTGGAATGACCAGCAGAGTAGGGTGTGGAGTGAGTGGGGACTGAGGATAAATGTGCAGTCATGACAGTGCTCCCCCCTTAGGGCCTGAACCCCTGAAGTGGGAGCATAGGCAACCATGTCTCCCACCCATTCATCCTCTCAGTGAAGTTAATAAAAGCTTCATGAACAGGGCTCTGATGGAGGAGAGGGAGAAGGGGGGATGTCTTCTGCTGGGTCTTGCAGTAAGAAGGCAAGATGCATGTCATACTCATCATGGATGTGATCAGGGAGGCTGGAGAATAGTAGATTATACTGCAGCTGTCACAATGCAGGGAGAATGATGGATGAGACTGGAATAAAGATGGTGCAGGGAGCAGGGAGGAAGGACCCATATGCTTCATCAAGTGGGGGACTGAAACAACCACATAAGACCTTTGTAAGTGAGTGACAGACCTGAGGTGACCAAAGAATGTCCTTCTGGAAGTCATACTGACAAGGAGAACACACTGACCAAGCTGCATGGGATGGGACAGGGCTGACAATGATGGAATGAACCAGGGGGATTCAGGATGGAAGCTGGTGGAAACACCTGGCAGATATACATAACCACTGTCTCTGGCAAAGGAGACAAGCAAGATGATTGATGAAGAGGTGGCCATATCTGATGGACTTAGCAAAATGAGCATCTGATGGGTGCAGTGCTGTAGAAATGCATAGGGTGTGAGGATCCTTTCCAAACTCAGAAGGCAGAATCACATGGCTGAGCACTTTAAGCGAGTGTGAGAACAGAGTCAAGATCTTTGGAAATGGTGGAGATACAATGAAAACCAGAATGCTGTACATGAGCACTAAAAACTTTTGATGGGCACTTGACTCACTTCCTCTTTTCTCTCTAGCACTGATGACTCATTCTTGTGTGAAGGGTGACTGCTCATGTCCATCAGTCTTTCTATGCATGAGGGCTTTAGTCTTCATCTGCATGGCATGGCATGCAACTTGTCAATGAGTTAGGCAGAGTCAGCTGTAACCATGTCCACAACACCTTTGGTGTGTGACATCCACTGGCAAGAAAAAATGCAATTGTCCCTGATTGCACCCAATGCAGGGAACCCATGGAAAACAAAAGGATGAATAAAGGAATGAGAGGAGATCAGTACCATAAGAAATGAAAAGGAAATGAAAGATCATGAATAGTGGTCTGAGTCATTATCATTATTGGTTTCTTTGTTTTCATCATCTTCATCATCATCATCATCATCATCATCATCATCATCATCATCATCATTGTCATTACTGCTGTTATGATCATCTTCTTCATCTCTTTCTTCTTCCATAACACTTGGTAAG